CAAGAGCAATGCACCATTGATTCAAGGACCACTCAAATGAGGAATGAAATCTCAAGCTAGGGCACCGATAATGAAACTCAAGTGTAAAAATGATTTTTCTACTCAACGAGGTCACTGCTAAAAAACCACAAAATTCCCCGCGAAACTATGCGAATCAGGTCAACCAACTATAAAAATGCTACGGTGAGAGATGAAACTTTACTTCTAAAAAACAATTGTAAGTAAATTTCTATGGAATGAAAAGCGCAACTAAACTATTTCCCTGATAGGAGAGCAAAGAATAGGCCATTCTCCATCGACCAACTTCCTCCCGACAAACAAATAAGGATCCGAATTGAGAGGTGCAGCCTGACATCGATTGCCATACGCCTAGTTCGGTTTACATGCGCATCTTTTTTCCTTCCACGAAATTTGAGGAATGTAAGCTCAGATTTGGAGATGCATTAAGACAGATTTCTGCGTAGGAACAAAAGTGCAAGGAGAAAGGCTTTGTGTGAAATCAAAAACGTTCTGCAGCGAGGAAATTCGCTTGCATGATTTGGGATATAGCAGCCGAGACTAAAATCGGAAAAGGGCTTACAAAATGTGAGAATGCTTCTTGAGGTTTATATTGAGCCTTATACGTAGGGTTATGGGAAGAGATTAGAATCCATTTGACTCGGTAGTTACAAGAAAACCTTCCAACTCAGTCATGCATAGAATCATAACCTTCTAACAATAAGTACATTAAGCTACAGAAAAGAACACAAAAGACATTCTCCATCTTTTCTCACTTCAAGATTTTCTAAAAACTGTTTGGAGGTTGAACAAAGGGGTTCAAACGATTAGGTTGCTCTGAAACAAAGCCCCTTTTTCGATATTCTTCCTTGTTTGTTATCACTTTCACAAAACTGAAAGCCGATTGAGGAGGAAAACACGGTTTCCAATAAAATTTAGAGTACTTTTTCTGTTGGCATCTATTCCTGTTTTGTTCCCCTTTTGTTTTTCGCTCTCCTCAGAAATATGACAATTTATTTCAAGAGACCCAGCCTTACCTAAATGAATTTGCGCTACGCACTAAGCGCTCTGCATTTCAGAAAATTTTAAAAAGGAAAAAAAGTGCATGATGTTCACTCGACGATGGATTTATCATATGTGATCTATACAGAACAACTATGCTGGCTTACTTGAGAGAAATGAAGTAGTAAAATGAAGAAATTATAGGAAGAGGAGAAAACTTGAGAGTAATGGACTGGTAAAATGAAGAAATATTATAGGAAGACAAGAAAACCAGTTTTAGAACTGGTAGCTAAACAATGCTGGTAATTGAGAATACAGCAAAAAGAAACGAGTTTGAAAACTTCACGAACATTGTAAGTGAGCTAACATACATCAGCAGCAACTCCACAAAACCAAAACTCGCAAAAAGTCCCTTTCAAGTTGGTGCATAGAACAACTTTCCGGTAACGATGTTTGTATTGTCCCTAGTCGAATAATACGACCGGTTGCTGATTCACCTATGCTCTTTTCATACATACAGCATCCGCTTATTGCAGATAAGAGTCTCCGATCGATGCTGAGCAAGTAAAAGTGCATTTCAGCGCACTGAAAATAGACATGGGGGGAGTGATATAAGGGGTCTGAGGAACTGAAATTCAAAATGCCAGTGCAGAAAGGTATAGCAGACTCAGCTAAGCTATTAGTAGGACTTTTTACGATAATATGGAAGGGTAGGAGGCTTCAAAGACTGCTTAGAGTAAGAACGCGCCGAAACTTCACTTTCTACCCAGTTGCGCCATTTCCTAAGGCTTTTTTATCCTCTTCACAAACGCAATACGGCACCATTTTTTTTACAGAGAAAGAATAACCAGTTTCGCATATGCGATTCTTCCCAACCAGCCAACATAAATGCAAAAGCCCTATATTACCGGAAATCTGTCTACTCTTGAGTGATGCTGTCTTGCAAGTACAGAACTCTGAGAAAATTTTTAAAAAAAGACGTTAATGAAACGATCAGAAAATGAACACATTTTCTAAACACAAGCCATAAAAGATATTCAGTGCATGAAAAATCGAAATGCAACATTATGGAAAAACACAATGACATTTTTAGTACTCGTAACTTACTTTCACAGACTATGGCAAAAAAAGACGTTGAATCATTCTGTGAAACTCCGATCCCAAAGGAGAAAAACTGCAAGTCAACTTTTTTTTTTGAAAAAAAAACTTAGGAATGCAGCGTAGCACAGATTTAGGCTTCCCATATGGAAAAAAATTCGCAAAAGGGTCGAACTCACTGGATATAAAATTGCAAAGATTTCTTCTATAAAAAAGAATTTGGGGAAAGCTAAATGGACTTTGAGATCAAAAGGGTTAGTTAAAAACGCTTATTTTCGCATGTCCAACGATTCTATCTCGCCAATTTGCTGACAAATTGCGCATACGATGTAGTTGCACTTAATCACAAAAAAAGAGATCTGTGGAGTAAACTGCTCTTTATTCCGCAGAAAAAATATGAGCAGGTGCTGAATCCAATCACATTTCAAATTTCAGTAAGTTCCGCCAGTGAAAGAATCTAAAGAATTGTGAGAAACATTTTGTGACTTTATAACAATGCGCTGACCTGATTCGAAGGTTACAATTCCAGACAGGTGCCTCACATTCGCCTAGATCGCTACTCAAGCGTACACTTATATTCACGCGTCATAACCTCAGCATAAAAAAGGTCCGTTGCAAATTCGTCATTCATAAAAATTAGCAATGTTCATTGGAAGATACAGGGAGCGAGAGCTCGCACTGCAAAAATTTCATTTGTATGTTCTCTTCAAGTAGGTATCCATTGTTGAAAGTGCTCAAATTTCCGACCTTGACGTCATTGAAGAACTAGCAAATTTGCTCAACTTGTGCAGGAGGTTGCAAAAATTTTATTTGGAAGAATACGGCAAATATCAATTTCGCACTTCGAATAAGAAAAACGGATTGGAAGGACACTATTCGATGGGGTGAAACAAACTTTACGAGATGACCATTAAAGAACCGTATAATTAATCCGTGCAAAATTTAGGGTCAAAATCTAAAGATATTTTATTACCCGATCTAGCCGATCTCGGCCGGAAACAGTCCCACTAATCTACCAATTTGCCTACATCTGCCTCATGAAAGCGAACAGAAAATAAAAATAAACGAGAAGCGATTATAATTTTTGAACTGATATTCTCACAAATTCCAGTTTGCAACGCTATAGTGCAGGCTGACAGATGGTAAGCTTATATAAGGCGAAAAAGTGGATGAAAACTCAAGGAATGGAAGAACCTTTTTGCAGAATGCAAACGGGAGCGAAAGAGGCCACCACTTTAAGAGGATGTGTCAATAAAATTCAAAATTCAAAATAGCGGTCGTTTCTCAGGATCATCGAAATTATATTCCAAATGCACTAAAATCACGATTTTCTGAATGTTTGTGACCGTAATTACTATCCTCTGACCCCTTTTCAACTGTTACCAGGTGAATAGATAAATTAAAATCCATTGGATTAATTATGTATACCATGGAGACTGAATTCATCCCATCAGCCAACGATAAAAAAGAAAAGCCTTCAAATTTGAACAGAAAAATCAGCAGATTGGGGAAAGGTATAGGTGCCAATAAAAACCTACATTTTAATAAAAACGTTTGCATATAAAATTGTGTTGTTAAATTCTGCTTCATGGTCCGTTTTTGAACATCCGTTACTTGTTCATTCGACTCATTCGCCTGGCACGAAAAGGCAATTTTTATCGATTATGTAACTGAGGAAAAAAACTGGTGCAATTAACTGACGCCCGACTGTTTTACGACCGACCACGCAAGCACAAAAAGAAGAATTCTAAAGATAACTGAGCCAAAAAAAAAGAGCAGGTGTCAAGAAGACCACAACAGAAAATACGGGGCAAGCCAAACCTGACCTGACCGTATCCATGGTAAAGCGCGCAATGCTGTACCTCTCACAAAAGCTCTCGGTCAGTCAGGTTTGGCGTGATTGTCCCCACCCTGAGTCAACCGCGGCCATCGCACCTGTCAGGTACGAGTGCGGATTGTCCAAACACGGATTGTCCATACACAAACCGATCAGCTTGGAATCAAACAAAAGCCGGCGCAAGCGGACTAAAAGGGAACTCGCATGAGAGTTCACCCCTTTTAGTCCTCTCGAACGAGTTACGAAGATCGAAAAAAAGAGCTGAGAGACCCGCTTTGTAAGTAGGATCCATCACGACGGATAACGTCGCGTCACGAAGTCATCGTCGACGCCTCGCGACCTGGAATGACGAGTGACGAGGCTTTTTTGGACTTCGCTTTGCATGCGAACGTGTTTGCGCACTTCCAGAAGAAATAAAAATTCCCACAGCACTCTTCTTTTTGCTCGTCGCATTGAAAACGTCTTTAGCCACTTCTCCACAAGTGCTATACACATTTCTCCATCACATTCTCGCAAAATTTCGGGATCATCCGTTTCGAACAAAACTTTCCTCCGCCAATGCGCCAAGCAACAGCGCCACACGCATTGCGCTCAGTTGGGCAAAGCGTGCCGGACAAGGAGATTTCTGTTTCGAGTCTTGTTGGATGTTCTGTTCGTGTTGATTTGCTTTATAATGGTTTCATTTTACGATATCTCCTTCGTTCTCTTCTGGTCGCACTAGGTTGACTTCAGGGTGGTTTTTGAGCGGTTTCATCAGTTTTCCGCCAGAATTTCCTCTCTAATACTACGAAATCCAGCGTAGCAACCTGTATTTGTGAGAATTTCATTTATTTTGGCCTGTAGTTCGTTTTAACGCGTCTGGGTAATTTTATTCGGAATCCTAAATCATGCACTTTTTGCCTTTAGTACCTGCTTGCTAAGTCAATGTTATTCTCGTTTCGATGAATTTTGAATTAGCGCATAATCTTCAGAGCTTTTACAAATTCTACTAATGTTGAGCTTCCCTTGTGACTTACATTTTCTTCCACAGTTTTCGTTCTTCTCAAGATCTTCGAACTTTTTTCCAGTTGCAACAAGATTGTAACGATTTTAGCCATGGTGGATGTGAAAGCAAAGCCATTTTCTGATGAGAAACGATGGATTATGATATATCCAACATATATTGACAGCAAGAAAACAACGCTGCAGGGTCGAAAAATTCCCAAAACTTTGGTAGGTCCATAAAATCTATACTAAACTGGCGAAACTGGTGATTCTTCAAGATTTAAGGCTGTTGAGAACCCAAAGTCAGCTGAGATTTTCGACGTCTTGTCTGCTACAGGACTAAATCCAGTACTTGACGTGAGCGTCCATTCTTAATTCTGCTTATCTGGCCGAAATAATCGTGAGTTTGCAGCGGGGGAAACTCCATCCACGTGAACAAGATCGAGAACCAGAAAATCGAGGTCGTGTCCGAGTTCAATTGAAAAACGATGATGGCACACCGAAGAATAAGGACTATCCAACTCGTCAGTTCTACTTTGTCACCTTATATCCACCTTCTGTTCGTGTCTATGTTCAAGATCATTTTAGGCACCGCTTTGCTGAAGTATGTCGCCACCATGATTCCCAAATTGAAAACGCGGCAACCCGGGTACACGGCTACCACAGCCGGTGCAGGACCTTCGACGGCTAAGAAGAATAAGAAGAAGAAGTAGACATCAGTCATTATAGGTATGAGCACTGATGCCTTTTTCTTCTCTCTTACATTGTCTTTGTTTGTTTGTTTTTGTTTGGAAATGCTATCAAAGTTGATTTATAGTATTCTTATATCACGCATCTTGTTTACAGTAGATTTTTGACTTGATTTTCGTCATTTTGTGATAGATTGAATGCTTGAACAAGGTTAGAGGAGGTTATCCCGATGTGCGCTACTTTTGCCGAACTGGCTCTTTTGCTGTTAGTAACTATGTGAGAACCAGCAGTCGGGTGGAGGACTATATGTCGCCGAATATGGAAGAGTCCCGCGCGGATTTCCTGCAGTAACGCATGTCCGCGCATACACTAGGGTGCGTATTTGTCGCTGACCGCGGGGACCGCCCTTCTCGGCGACATATAGTTCTCTACCCCCAGCAGTCTACTGAGGCCGCGCGATATCGTTTTTCTTTCGAACTATAAAGCATCTTCTTTCACAAAAGTCAGATTTTGTTGTTTTTTTCCACAGTAAAATTTTCTCAACATATTTACGACAACAGCAGCATGAAATGATTACAAATTTGCTCGCAGAATTTTATTTACATATACTGAGTTAGACTGAGGTCCTGCAAAAAACTGACAATCTGTTCGGAGATACCATTGCTTTCGTTACGAAAAGATGGTTATATGCAACTGAGATACAGTCGAGTAGATTTTCAGCTTAATATGGTGTGCTTGCACAGAAGGTGAAATGCGGTAAAATTTGCGCATCAACAAATAGCTTCGACTGTGACGCTGGCCAACTGCGCGCGCCAAATGCCGGCTATACTGGCGTGGCTATTCTTCGCGAGCAAATTTCACTGGAATTCACCTTCTGTGCAAGCACACTATATAAGCGAAAATCGGCTTGACAGTATTTAGCATCACCATGGAAATGACAAGTTCTGAGACTGCTGAGTTTTACAACCATTTGCATTTTACTGTGAAGCAATCGCTTTCACCAAAGGAAGATGGATGGGAACACCCCCTCAACGTACCCCTCCCCCCGCACCGCCTCAACGAGCTACTGGTTCTTTCGCTCATGCTATCTCATATTGTGTACTATAGACCGGGGGCGGTGCTCAATGGCGGTTTTTGTTTAAGAAAGTCACTTTCGTGATTGGCACTGCCCGTACCTCTTCCCGTTGACCCATAGGTGATTGTAAAGTTGGCAGTGTAGTATTCTTCGACACGGAGTGGTTGTCATAAATATGTCAAAAATAGTACGTGGAATTCATACTTGCTGAGCAAGAATGACTTTTATGAGGTGATCCAGCTCAAAAGGCTAATGTCCTATGTCCTACTGCTATCATCCAAACTGTTTTGATCAAAGTGTCCTTTCTTTCAGGCAATCATCGCTTTGCAAACAGGTGATGCCGCTCTTTGATCACAAGGTTTTTAGTGTTATAATTTATTTCATTCCTTCGCATTCGTTTCTGTTTATGCTGGTTGTTGTATCGAGTTTTCTGTGATTAATAGTTTTCATTGTTTATTGAAGTAAAGTTTTGCGCTACAAATGTTATGTACACTAGAACCAATTAGATCGAGTACATTGCTAGGCCAATGATAAGCTCTTATCGACAGGTGGCGAGACGATCCATGACGGTTTGCTTCTTCCGTGTCACTCGAATCAAGGCGATCTTAGAAACATAAGAATATCTTTCCTATATCAAGACTTCTTTTCGACAAGAATGGAGAGCGCAAATCGGACATTCTCGCATTGCATTTTTCTTTCACAAGCATGTTATCAAGTCTCAGTTGTTCTTCACCTTAATCTGGTCATATGGCGTCTGCATAATTCGCCTGTCAAAGCTATTAGTAAGCTACTACACTTGATATATTTTTTCAAATCCGCTACAGCAGCTTCAAAGTCGGCAAATTCTTTATATCTTCTCCGAAAGTCCACCAAATATCAATAACTTTGATTTTTGCATGCGCATGCATTATCGTTAACGATTCTGCTTGGCTAAGCAACGTTTTTGATATCGAGATTTTTATTTCCACTTCCTCGCACAACGTCCCACTTGTTTTCCCTCTGATTTTGGTGTCATTATGAGGTGTGTCTTGTGTATTAGTTGTTAACTCAAATCCGGCATCCTTATCCACAATTTAATGATAAACATCAGATGCAACGAGAGAATCATTTGAGCTACATACCGTAGTGCGCTTATATCATCATGAAGCATCTAATATTTTCTAAAGAACATTTCGCATAAAATGACAGTTCTAGGGTAAAAACCATTGGTAGCTTCAACAATATATATCACAAATAGAGATCATTTCGCCCACAAGTACTTCTTAACAGCAGCTAAGCAGGGAATGGTCAGAACGAACTCAACCCAGCCATATCAAACTTGCTGAATATCATCGGACTCGTCTAGGACGCTGATTACAAGTACATGTTTACTATCCGCCAAGCGACGATCTGAGAGTAGTTATGAGCTTTGAATGTGCGAACTCTCAGGTGTTCTTTGGTGCATGTTCCACGAAATAGAAAAACACTTATTTAGGTTTTTGGTGAATGTGCTTCTCCCTTGTAACCAATATAACCATAGCCACTATGAATCCCCATAGGGCTGTCTTTCATGGAAATATATTCGTCGAAACTCGAAAAATTTTCTCATACTTGAACGCTTATAACCCCTCCGAGATAGTCGCTCGGCAGATAAAAAATGTATACTTGAAATCAGCGCTTTAAGATGAATCCGATGATTTACAGCGTTTGGAATGGCTGTTAAGTTCTAACCATTTCCCCGTAAGCTCAGATGATTTTTGCAGCTTAGCTAGGGGGCGAAAGGGAGATCGGCTGTACAAGAAGTCTATAACTATTGCTAAATTTTTCAAATTCTAACCCAATAAAGCAAAGTATCCAGAAGCTTTAATAGCTTTTTTCATTCTCCAGCAAAACTGAGGCAAACAGACGAAAAAGCGGTAAGACAGGTTTGCAATGAAAAACATAAAAACTTCGGTCATTAAATACAGCCGTTAGTTCTCAACTTTCATCGTGAAGTTTTTGGGGATAAAGCTGCTTTACAGCTACTCACTTTTGGCTGTCTCAATCTCATTAGCAAAAAAAAGAAAGAAATGGCGTTACAACATATGATGTCTCTGGCCAGTTCCTAAATCATGTCACCGTAAAAAAAGAGTTGTGTCTCTTGCAACATCCGTCAATCAAAATTAGTCGGCTTATAGTCTAGTGGTGCTGACAGTTCATTGCCCTTGCGGGCGCCTACATATCCATGCGACTTTTTATACTCCTATCAAAATAAATGACTAGTTTTTCTAAAGAATCATACAACTAATAGTCGCAGCATATTCCTCAATGCGCTCTTCTCCCGCATGGTAGTGAAGTGTAGTGAAATTGACTAGAGATAAATAGGCAATGAAAAATTCAGATCTCCGGAGTGCAGATTCAAAGCTGAGGTGTAGGGTAACGATGACAATTTGACAATGGGTACTTTCAAAGGCACTCGAATTGGGAGCTGTGTAATCGAAAGTATGGCTTACTTTCAAAAAAAAAAAGAAGAAGCGAAAACTGCACTTCTGTGAGGTTGATGAAAAGCAGAGATTTATGGAAAACTAATCCAGCACTGATAAGAATTTCACCGGTCAAGGAAAGTTTGTATGAACAGTGAACTCCCAAAAAGATAAGATGAATAAAGCTTTCCATTTAGCATCGCTTAGTTCTTGTATTTGGAAAAGGTAGAATAGATCGTTTCGAAAACATTTAGATTGGAATGGTGATGTTGTGGTCTTGACATGGGAAATTCATTTCTAAAGTGAACATCAAGGTTAATTTTTGAAAAATTTTTTCTCGGAAACGTATAAACGTCACACTCTTTCTTTCTGAAGTTTTATGGTAGTAGTAAGTTTTCCAAAAGATCATTCGGGGAAGCCACTCTATTCAATGAGCAAACAATTTTGATCGCGCCCACCTCCTCGTCCTCAAAAATTTTTTTTTCCATCTTTACTAGAAACCGGAAAGAAAATTTTGCATTGATTCTGTTTGCCAAAAGCTTGGTCTGAAATAAACCATCTTTGAACATCGTCGTTTTCTCAATCACCCACTCCATTTTATAATGCTCATTAATTCAACTAGCTTGGCGGCTGGAAGGTGGGGCTTCGCGACCTAACTGAGCCTAGATAATGATCAGAGTGCACGCGCGTGACAGAGACGCAGACTGCAACGCGGACGCGAGCGGTTTCAATTAGGTCACAAAGCCCTATCTTCCAGCCGCCAAACCAGTTATCAAAAATACTTTATTTTCGAGATTCTCCCTTAGTTCTGTTAAGAAAAAAAATGGACACCACTGCTGCTTCTGTCACTACGCATGAATTTGCGACTACAATGAAACATCACGACATGAAAAAACCGATGTGGATGTGGTTCCATACCAAAGTCAACGACTTGGTACTCTTCGATTTTTGGATTGTTACTACCCCTGGAGGTAAATGAGTCATCATAGATCAAAATGTGGACTACTTTGGCTTTTTTAGAAATGATATGGACATGCTTGGTAATAATGGTTCTGGGAGTTTTGCTCGAATTTATTCGATATGCACGGTGGCGTATGGAGCTGGCAAACCGAAAAGAGCTTATGCTGTCCACAAAGTACGCTACATTCGAATTTGTTAGATCTGAGAGGTAGCTGGACTAGACAGCCATAAATTTCAGAGAGTGAAACATTTAGACGGAAAAAATTATTTTAGCTATGTTACACGCCTGTTCTCGTTTTCTCATCTTCTCCAAACATTTTGTTTCGGAGTACAACTGATACTTAGCTATTTGCTTATGCTCGTATTCATGACATTTTCCGTATGGCTTGGATTGGCAGTGTGCATAGGAGCTGGTATAAAAACTCTTCGAAAAAAAATTTCTCCAAGAATCTTATTGATTTAGGTATCGGCTTTCTACTATTTGGCTCAAGAACGGTGACACAAGCGGAATTAGAAGAAATGCACGGCGATAAATGTTGTTAAAATGATCTCACATGCATAAAATTTATGGTTCTGCTACTGTGAATCTGTAATCCGGATGCGCAATTTCGCCATTATCCTTATTTTTCTTCAAGCTTGAAAACATGCAGCGGATGCATAGCTTTTCTATAGGAAACTAGGAATCGAGAAGGATTGCCAAGATGATGATGCAGATGTATTTCCATTTTCGCTTAGGCGAACCGATATTGCTTCAAGAATGGACACCAAAAAATATGACAGGTAAGCTATATGAGAATTCTACGAAAACATTGAAAGGAAGACGGAATTTTAATGATGAAATTTCTGAAAAATGAGAGGGGGCGGTAAGATGGACCGAATGAAGTTTTTTCTATCTAGCAATATAGATCGGATGACCGCGCCGCTCGACCATACGCATTGCGAACTTTTCACTGCGTGCGAAACAACATGAGATTTGTCCTCAAATCACAGTTACAGCAAGCAATATTTTTTCGCGAACCATCTCCAAAAAATCAATTTAGGATCTTCTTCTCTATAAATACCCTTTGATTCAACTGGCTTGGCGGTTGGAAGGCGGGCTTCGTGACCTAATTGAGGCTAGATAACATCAGAGAGCATGCATGTGAGAGAGACGCAAACAGCGTCGCGGGCGCGAGAAGCCTTAACTAGGTCACAAAGCCCCGCCTTCCCGCCGCCGGGCCAGTCGAATCAAAGGTTACAAATTTTGGTGGGTTTCATCTAGGATATGTGTTCACATGCATTGGTGTTGCTGCGATAGCTGTTGTGTACGAAGTGGTCAAATTTTCAAGATCTGGAGTAGAAAAGAAGGCCAACGCACAAAAGGTAATCATTAGTTTGGTATGGTCATTCAGTGCCATTCAAGCCAGTGTCAAAGAAAAAAAATTTTTTTAGTTGTGCGGATGTCATTTGGAAACAGCAGCACTGCATAAAGTTACTCCAGCTCCAGGGATGCCATGCGGTACAACTAGCGCAAATAGGAGGACAGAATTACCGTAAGCTATCGCGACTAGTCATTACTTTGAATAAGTTTTTTCTCGAAAAATTCTTATATTCGCAATGGCTGCAAAAAGTTCAGATAAGGCGGAACAGGGGGGCGCGTCACAACATTTTTCTTTGAAGAAAGCAACGTGATATGAAATGCACTGTTTTTCAATCCTTTTTTTACAAAAACTGATTTTCGAAAAAAAAAGGTTTTAGGCACTAAAAATTTTTTTGAAGTCTGATTAGAATTCCTATTCAAAGATCTATTATACTTCTGAAGAAGACGTGTGCTATTCCCAATTTTTTTTTGAGCGACCCGGATGTGTTTATGAGGAAGGCCTCAAAAACTGTATATACTGTTTGATTGCGCAGAAAATCAGCGAATCGTACAAAATTCTTCAATTTCTTCCTTTTATATGAGCTCGTTCAATAAGATGTAAGAATGCCACTCATATTGTGCATAAAAATTGTCAGCAGTCTCTCAAAAGCCTTTCTTTTCACTTTCTCAGAATTTAGCTGTCATTATTTTGAAAACATATTGGAGGCGTCCCAATGTACTTGCAGTAGCTGTGCTAAGTTGAAAATAAAAATGAGATCTGTGTTAAAACTGCCCTTCTCCCTCTTCAAAATGGTTATAAGTTGACAGTACTGTTCAAGAAAAAAAGTGAAAATGATCACATTTTCATAAGCATACTTTTGATTAATAAATTGTGCAAATAACTTGTCTTTATGTGAACAATTTTCAACAAATTTTCCAAAAACACCTCGGGACGTGACTAGTGCCACACCCCTTTTTAGGTTATAAGCGCAAGCAGCCTAAGGTTTTGAGCCCAAGAAAAGTTTGAAAACATCCGTCGTTTGCGTTGTGACATACTCTAATAAGGCATACCTTTCAGATTTTTGCCGTCAAATCTTGGACGTTCCATGCATTCCCTATCGTCGATTATTTATTTTGTGCAAATGTTCATGGCATACTCGTTAATGATGATCTCGATGACCTACAATGTGCCCATTTTCCTCAGCATGGTTCTGGGTATCTTACCATTATTGTTTTTTTCTCAGCAGGCAATGCACATAATGCAGCAAAGTAGAACTCTGAAGCTGTAGTACTATGTTTCTTAGACTCAAGAGATCTCAAAACATTCCCGACTCGCTGCCATAGCTGGGCACGGCCTGCGTGGGAAGATATATCTACAAACAAGCAAAAAAATAATTTTTCAGGCCACATCGTTGCTTATTTCTTTCTCGGACCACTAATTTCTATTCGACAGTATGAGAGACTGGGTGACTGCTGTGGATAAAATTTTTCAGTAAACTTAGAATGAAATTTTATTTACGAAACATGATTTCATGAAGACACCGAATGAAAATCCATCGAGTGTAATACAAAGAAAGTAACACTTTAGTCGTTAATAAGAATTAAAAAGATAAGTGATTAGTCTTGAACAATACAAATTACTTGTTGAATAATTAAGAATCTGGGTTCTCAATTTTTATGGGAGTATCATCAGGCTCAGTTTTGACCGGATATTGCTCAATCACTTCCTCTTCTGCATGCACATCAGCTTCATCAGCATCAACAGCACAGTTTACTTCTTGAGCCTCAGGCTCGGCAGGTTCGAATGGCGGTGCTTGCTCTTCTTCCTTTCTTGCAAACAGCTCCCTTCTGGCAAACAGCTCATCTTTGGTAGGATAGTTGAGTATTGCCACCTATAGAAAGAAACTGTAAACATCCAATTGCAATCTAAATCTTCCACTTAATCTGTGCTTGCGGTGCCGCATTTGGGCGACCAACTTTGCGCGTGAACAAACAACAAGCAGACAAAATGCCGGCATAACTGGCGTGTCGAATTGCTCATGCCCAAATTTGGCCGCCAGTCCAATTCCGGCACAAGCATACTATATTGAGCGGAAAATTTACTAAATTTAAGTAAATAATCGTCTTTAACACCCGTGAATTTACCAAACACCATAATTCCAACTTACCTTCTCCAGATTGCCAAAAATGCCTTTCACACCGGTTAGTGGGTGATATAGCCATGGACACGTACACAGCCATCCGCTATACTATAAATCTCAAGTATATTCTTCAACAATGTCTAAAGAACTAACCGCAAAACTAACCCGTTCGGTACGACTGAATACCTTTACGTTAAACGCATCTAAACCATCATACGTGTATTTCTGCAACAGCTGGTGATTGTCAACAAGCCAGATGTGCCCCGCATAATCTTCGTTGTCCAAATCAGCATATCGGACCAGGAATGTGCCTTTCTAAATTTAGCACTCAGTAACAACCTGTAAACGACTTTTCAAATCTACTTAACGTATTTAATGATAATGGTAAACCCCAAATGACACAAAGACAGTATAAATAATGATTCGTCGTAGAATCCTTCGCAAGACATAAATGTAGATGTAATCAGATCATACCGGAAACGCCATATTTCTCTTCTTTTGTCTAAGTACCTCGCCATGAGTTGGGGTATGAGGCAATCCATCAGTTACTCCATCTGCCTGTTGATTGGTTTGTTCAACGTCACCACCTTTCTTACGTCTACCACCCCTGAAAACAATGACATAAGAATAGTTAATGCTAGATTTACTGATAACCAACCTTCTTCTTTTTGTACCCGCATTTTCTCCTCCTTCCCCTTCAGCCGCTTTGGCTCTTTTCGACTGCCTTTTCTTCTTTTTATCGGCACCAACGGGCATCTGTCCAATGATAGAAGTCTCCCCATTCAACATTACAGCTGTAAACAAGCTGCATGATGCCTGTATAATGCAATCAAATGACCAGCTCACGTTGGAGATTCCCATTGTTGTCGTACGCAAGTGCAGGATCCTGAACGTACTCCACAGGTACAGGAGCGTAAGCATATTGTGTTGGTTGTACGGTGACCTACATAACAAGAAATCCAACAATGAATTTGAATAATTTTCGTGAAGATGTGAACAGAGAAAAAAATTTAATTTCGAGTAGGCGATGCACATGGGAAAAAACTCACACGACGCCCATCTTGAGTGTAGACGATAGTACCCGGCGGCACAGCTACCTGTGATGGTACAATATAAGTGAATTTTACATGTAAGAGTCAAAGGCGCTGCTCAAAATCTCAATAATTCCGCTGGAACATTGCGTGTAGGCGTTGTAGGAGATGCTAATTGCGCAAGCAACCTCACTTCCGCATGGTACGACCTCTGAGGTCACGGTAAGTTTACGGTAGGATACCGTAACCATACCCTCTGTTTCATTGGGATGGCGGAACTTCGACCGCTAATTAAGCCTGAGAGATGTTTAGAGAACACGCTCGCGAGAGAGATGCAGAGTTCAGAATCCACCCACAACGCCACTCCCAATGATACAGAGCGTAGTCTCCATGCGTTCACACAAAACACCATAAAAGTTATGATGTCTTACTCTGACAACTGTTTGTGATATTCACAAACATGCTAAACAACCTCACCTCATGTCAAGTTAAGCATTTGAGATTTTAACCCCTTCACCATTTTTTCCTTACCGTAGCCGCAACAAAGACGCTTTCATGCATTAACACATTGACGACCGCTTGACATGTATTAAAGGCTTGGAATTAGTTGAAATGGCTACTATCCTAGAATAAACTCACTCCATGAGCTTTCTGTTGCACTGATTCTAGGGATGACCTCTACGTTTTTGTCAGCCTTTCAGATTTACCGTAAGTTTACTGTAGATGGCAGCATGCGTAATTATAGCCGAAAAATGTGGCCTGGTCCGCAAAAGGCCTTGGTCCCAGAAGGCAAACAACCAAAAATCTGCATGGTCGTTAATATGTTAATGTGTAATGATTTGTGGCAGCATATCAAAAATGCGATAGTTTAGTGTTTTAGCGAAGAGACTTCGACATTCTAGATTATCTACAGATAAATAGCCCCGAGTTACGCAAAGTGCACGGCCTGGATGTTCTTGCAGATTGTCGCGTCGCGCTAGAGATGGCACTATTTGCAATGAGTTGCAATTAGTTTGTTGTATTTGTCTGTCTAATTGAAGACAAATACAGAGCACTTGCAAAATCGTGAGATCCGGTACGCGGCAAACGTTGAGGGATACGTTAGCCGTGGAGCGCGCCAGCGCAATCATTGGCCGTAGTTGGCAAGACAGCTAAAGTTGGCCGGGGGGGATTTAGGTGGGAGGTGTACTTCGAAGGGATTTCCCCCATGTAGATTTTTGCCTGATCCGGAGGGAAAAAACAAAAACGAGCATTTGTTCCAAAGTTGTCTTTCTTTGGAAACATGTTGAGAAGCCAGATGCAATCGAGTGACTCTCTCAATGTACTTACGTTGCTTTTGCTGTTGTTGTTTGCGTTCTGTAGTTGTTCCTTGCTAGTTATTTGTATGGTATGATGTAATAACATAATAGAATATCTTGCCGTTAACATTTCCTTGTAATGAGCTGGCTGGCTATCTGCTGTATAAAACTGATCACCCACTAGTATTAGTAGAAGACTCTTCAAATAAGAAAAGTAGCACCCAATTTTGCTCGGAATTCAGCAGAGCACATGATGGCTGCCCACAAAGGGATAGATACGGCTTCAAATTCATAGTTAGGAGAATATTTCGACACTGGCACTAAAAATGGAATTCCTATGCGTTTCTGTAAAGTTTCGAAAGTTTAGCAGTTCTATACTCAAGGATGAACGGACTAGGGTTATTATGTTCAACAAAACACTAGCAATTTATGCGAAAAGTCAATGCAGATATTTAGATTTCTTCAAATGGCAGACAATCCCCAAACAAGTTGGTTTCGTTTAAACAGACTAGACTTCACTCAAATCGACATTGAATTCAACTTTTTCAAGATAAAGGTTTAACAAAATATTTCTCGCAAGGAAAGAGTGTCAAGCGTGGTTTCTGTACCACAGAAACAGAACACAAACAGACAAAATACTTCAGAACCGATACAGTGTCACACTCATTTCGTCAGCGGAACTATCAGTGACGATAGGTCGAATGAAAGCTCCACTCCGAAAGCTCCACTCTGAAAGCTCCTGTATATGAGGAGAACTGATCTTGAGGATTCATTTCAGGCCGTCAAGTCACCGGCACAAACTTTTGTTTGTGCGTTACCAGCGTCAAAATATGAATAGGCAAAATCTTCTAACTTCTAACAACACTTCCTGCATACATCCGAACGATACTTAATTCTGCATTAATCATCAACTGCAAAATTTCAGCATCAGTATTAGGAAGCAAACGCGAAAGTATTCAAGGCAACATTCCTATGGTATCTACTTCCGCATACCAATTGAAGCTGTACTTGAAGTTTAACAGAAAAAGCAGTTTGAAAGAGAGCGCACATGCTCACAAAATCCAAGATAAATATATTTTTCAAGTCAGCGGAACTGTTGAAAATGATAAACGTTGCAACCATCTGTTGCACGCATCGAAAATGCAAACCATGGGAAATATGAAGTCTACATTCTTCAAAGTTCTGTTCTCACTAGATTGAGCAAAAAAGATGAAAGATCTTCGAAGCACTTGCCTTCCATAAATGAAAAGCAAAAGTTATCACGCACAAATTTGGCTTAGAAATGACGAAAATGAGATTTTATCGACCAAGAAACATCAAAACGATGTTAGAGAACAAAAACATGTGAAAACTGGGCCAACATTAGCTGTCTTGCCAGTACGGCCAATGATTGCGCTGGCGCGCTCCACGGCTAACGTATCCCTCAACGTTTGCCGCGTACCGGATCTCCAAAATCGTGACGATTGCGCGACCGCGCGACACGCACGCCACTTCGGAAATCGCATTTTCTTGGTTTTTTTCTCTAGTCGAATGGTTTTTTACATACGTATGATAATATTCAGACACTGGAAGTGACTGAGCTGGACGTCGCGGTGATGCCTTCTGTATGAGCGTTTTATGCTCCTGGGGCGCAAAGTCCGCAGCAAAATCCATCGTCACGATTATATAAATGAACTATACAGAACTATCGAGACCAAAAAACGATGATTTCTGAACCAAGATCCTACCTGTCCTTGAGGCGGAACGTAAATTGGCGGTTCCAGTTCTCCATCGTATGGCACGTAACGTACTGGGACACTTGCGTACTGCACTCCAGATCGCAACTGCATCTGTTCAGCGAAGTAGGAGGAAGTCGGTTGTACTTCAGCAGAATAAGACGGCTGCACAAATATCTGCGAAGGTAGCCTTTGCGGACCTGGTGCCAGTCTATTGGCAGCTCCTCTTTCGGAAAGTAGCGTGGAGTATTGTACTTGTGGATAATTTCGCTGCTGTTGCTGATAAGTTAGATTATGAGGTTGTTGATGGTTTTGTGAAGTCGCTCCGCCAGATATAAGAGCTTGATTGGACGACGATCCTTTGCTATACTGACAACTCCTTTGTTCTAGTGCAGTACGTGACGTCAGTAGATACTGCCGCCTTTGTAGAAGATTTTGCTGGTACTGAAAAAAATACCATATATGAGCGAAGAAAAAACCTGCGGTCATATTCATCAGAGAAGCTATAGAACAAATCTATTTTGGGGGCAAACTAGGTCACAAGTCATGTAAGTTCCATAGATTTCATTGCGCTCTGCTTGAAAAAACAAACGGGTATGCAGCGATACCTCCTTACTGAAGTGAGTGTAGAGAAGTCGATATCTGTAGGTGAGTATAGCCACTGGAGACCGTAATATGGTGAGTGTCAAAAATTTGAGCTAGGCTTATAGTCAACCAAAAGTCCAGGTATAATTAGCTCAAAGGTTCGTGTAGAGGTGGGTTGTGGACTTTCCCTGATTATAAGGTTCAACTTACTAAATTTCAATGCTATGACATTGTTTTTTTGAACTCATTCGCTATCAAAAACCGCCCCGCTTTGAGCTGCCACGACTCCGCCTTTATACGAATCGTGGAGCCGACGATTGTTCCGTACGGCGGTGGAACTGTGCCCTTCCTTTCAATGGATTGGTAGAGGACGTAAAAACACCGTCCACCCTAAATTAGGAATCTTGAACTTTTGGCAGCTTACGATGGTGGGTCCCCCCTATCAAGCCAATGCCCAAGTCGCGCCTCAATATGTCGTTTCGAAAGAACGAAAAGGCACGAGAAGCCCAAACAGCACCGCCCTCCCCCAGTAATCCCCGCCCTTCCGTGCGCACCCATCCAATCACCGTTCCGGAAAACCGGTCTGGGGTTTCCGGGGTCACGAGGTCACGCTGACAGCTGAAAACCCGCTTGGATGTTGGAAGACCTATGCCCTAGCACTAGAGTCTCGCCCAACGATTTCAAACGGCAAGCCAGAGGGTGGAGGACTATATAGGTAGAGGTGCCAGAGTAAGCGAATATTTTGTTCAGGTTGGGGTCCCGCGCAGAATTGACGTCACTTGGATTGACGCCAGCATGGTGAGAGACGTAAATTCTGCGCGAGACCCCAACCTGAAAAATATTCGCTTACTCTGGCACCTACCATATCGCCGAGTCTGGAAGAGTCCCGCGCGGATTTCCTGCAGGAACGCTGTCCGCGCATTTACAAGGGTGCTTACTTGGTCGCATGACCGCGGGGACATCCCCTTTTCGGCGATATATAGTCCTCTACCCCAAGCTAGAAGGTGCGTGCCGCGGGCAGAGGACATTAGGTTGCCGACATGCCGCTACAGTTGAGATGGTAGGGTTCTACAACGCCTTTGCGTCTCAGCGTTGGCGGGAACTGCATCACCACGCGTCCTCATTCAGATCGAAAAACTTTAGCGCCTGTTCTCGCCCCTTCGAGCTTTCTAAGTGGATTCTTGATGCAGCGTAGCGAAAAAGCTCAGAATGGCGAAAAATTAGGAAGGTTTTTGCCCCGGACGCTGCTTCAAATTCTCTATAAATTTACGCTAGAGGTCCCCATGGAATTTTCCCACAATCGCCTTGTGCTAGGTGTCCGCGGGTGGTGCCTATCGGCAACGTCGCCTCTATATACGTTCTTTTCACTACTTTCGCGTTCTCTATACTGCATTTTCGGGATCAGCTTCAGGATAGCCCAGGTAAGCGAAAAGTCCGGTAGATGAAGCTTGTCGAGCACTGCTTACAATTAGACATACTGAAGGCAGTGGCAAAACCGGCGCTTAGTGAAAGTACGACCTTTACCGCACACTCAGTATGTACACGGACGTCTCCATGTTAACAAACTCTCCAACTTTGAGGCAAGGAAGATGATTGACTAGGTGAGACAATAGATCTGTCTTCTCAGAATCTAGACAATATGCACAAACTTTTGATAACCCTACTCACCTGACGTTGAGCTTCTAGATACTCTTTGCTGGGAACACGCTGTGCAGGGATGTTCGCATTATCCAATTCCTTCTTGATGTTGACGATCTTGTAAGCCTTTTCCGTGGACTCACTCTGAAGAAGCGTTGTCCACCGTTTGGCTATAGTGAATGCGAAAGAGGTAAGGTAGAGATCTATGGGTAACAGCGATCACAGATTGATGTAAGGATAGTGAACTAATGATAATGGACCGTTATGACCATTATCACTATTTGTTCGCCCATGCCAAGAACTAAGGTAATGCTTGTCGGATTTCCACTGGCGTAAAGCGAGAGATTCGATTAAAAGTCATCTTGGCACAGAAACTAGAGGAATACTTGGGACAAAGTCTAATTGACCTAATACCAAGCATTGGCTAACATATCAGAACTGGAGGAGAACTTATAACAAGCGCGAAATATCAGAGTAAGGCCTCGGACAGAGTTCAAGCAATTTCGTCGCCTCGCGATTTCTCCGACAAGACAACAGTTACGAGGCCATTGCTGCCGGTCATCTTGAATTTCAGTTGTGATAGTTAGTCACGATTAGTGGTGTCGGAGAACTATCTCAAGCGAAATGCAAAATGATTAACATGCAATGGACTCGTAAGGGGCCCGTCATACTTGCCGAAAGCAAAAAAGCCCAAAGAAGGCCAAAGCCCGAAACAAAACTCAAAAAGCCCGAAAAAGCCGAAAAAAAGCCCAAAAGCGCCAGGAGCCGGAACGGCTTGATTTCGCAACCAAGTCTTTTTGCTTCATTTTCTGTCGTTTGCACATCAAAATTACGTCAGACTTCTACCATAAATTCGTTTCTGCATCCCGTCTCTTTCGAGCTTTTTGGGCTTTTTCGGGCTTTTTTGGGCTTTTTTGAGCGCTTTTGGTTTTTTGGCGAAGTATCACGGGTCCCTAACTGTTGTCTTATCGGGGAATCGCGAGGCGACGAAATCGTTGAACTCTGCTTGAGGCCAAACGCGGACCTATTTCAAAATCTTACAGATAAGTCTACTTTTTTGGCCCAGATAAGGCCCTTCAGGTAAGTCCGCCCCAAAGCTGAATCCGTTTTCTTTTCATTATAAACCCTGAACGCTTGTCAGATAAGTCCGACTGTCAGTAAGTCCGGAGTTATCTGCAGACGGACTTATCTGATGGTACGCCCTACCTTTGAGATCTTAGGGTAACATAAACCGATGTTGATAGGGCTTGCAATCACTGAGAATTAGATAAAAAGACGAAATGAAGGATCATGATAAATTGTAGATGAAAACTTACCTTCACAACATGATGTGAAGATGAAGACGACGGTACTGCACGAGCAAATTCTCCAGGCTCATAGAAAAATGAAGCTGTTTGAGGATCAAATGCTTGGTTTGTGGAAAGATATCCCGGTGTGTAATCTTCGCATTTGACAATGGGACATGATTTTCCGTCTGCCGACATTCTGAAGCCTATATTTGATGAAACAAATTGTTGGATATGAAGTGACTGGAGATGATTATTCGTAGAAAATGAAACTTACCGCGGATAAGGTTAACGTATCGGCATTATCATACGGTCTACTGCATGAAGGGTACCGGTCCGGTACATGTCTGAAAATGTGCATACAGGTCTGAACATGTTACCGGCATGCCGAGTCAGAAATCGCGGCAACACTGCTTTTACCGAAGCGTCAGTGGCGGCTGTAGTCATCATGAGCTTTACTCCTCTTCATTTATTCTGTTGTCCGTTTGCCATACGTTTAAATTCCTCTTTTCATGCGCAATCCTAGCATAGGATTAGCCTGCGACTACGGAGGTGCGAAGTAGCGAGGGTCTGCAGTGCCCGACCTCAGACAGCGGATAGGACCCCTCCGCCGGAGAAATGGCAGGGTCGCGGCGTTTCCCCAGCGGTGGGTCTCCCATTTGTCCGGCGGAGCCCTCCCATTTGTCCGGCGGAGCCCTCCCATTTCTCCGGCGGATACCTCCCATTTCTCCGGCGGATACCTCCCATTTTCTGCTCCGGATACCTCCCATTTTCTGCTCCGGATACCTCCCATTTTCTGCTCCGGATACCTCCCATTTTCTGCTCCGGAGGCCTCCCATTTCTGCTCCGGACCCCTCCCATTTTCTCCGGCGCGGCTCTTCCAAATTTGGCGGACACGCGCCGCGCAAATTTCTCCGGCGCGGAGTCCGCCAAATCTGGCAGAGTCGCGCCGGAGAAATGGCGGACCTTTGCAGCAGGGCCGGAGAAGCCTCCCATTTGCCTGCCAGTGATGTCACCGCGATGGACCGCCCATTTGCCCTTCTCTCATTGGTCAACTGGGTCCGGCGCGACTCTGGCAGTTTCGGAGGGTCCGGCGGAGGGGTCCCGTCGATTGTCTGAGACGGCGCGATTCGTTCCCTGAATACGTCCAGCATCCTTCACGGGTACCATTTGTCTCTTTTGAAGCTACTTGTTCGAGAGCTTGGATCTCGCGTGGATTTGGCACCGCGTTCGCGAACATGTTCTCTGCTCATTTCCCAACACCTATTTAACCATTAAAGCGCCTCTGAGCAATTTCAAGAGTGGGAAAATAAACAAAGTACACATTCACAAACGCGACTCATGGTCCAGGGTCCAGGCGATGCGGCTGCGCGGAACTCAAGCCGCTCGAAAAAAACAACCCAAGTCTCACTCTTTATGGACAGGGTGTACCACCACTTCGCATGCGTTGCATGCCTCTGCCCTGTCTTTGAAAGGGTAAAGGATAAAGGTTTCGCTGTCTTCAATACCCTTCGCAGGCATGCGAACGCACTCTACTTCATAGTCGAGAAGCTATAGGCGATTCATCTCACACGCACAGACTGCGGACGTATCGGCGTCTCTAACATCGAGCGCTTATTCGTTCCTCTTACCATCTGCTGTCTTTCCCATGCACGAACTTTCCTGGTCGGACGCAGCGGCGCTCAGTCTCTGCGTGGCATGAATCGCCTATACTGAGTGCGTGCGCACCTTTTACAGTGACTTGTGAGGCCAGTTACCAAGTCAGCGCTTTTATCCTCCCAGATTTTCTGGTAGACATGGGTCCGATTATAGTGGCTCCTCCACACTACATCATTCGTCCCCTGCTCTTCTTTAGTCTTTGCAAGTTAATCTTGTTTGCAAATTGGAGCCATCTTATTTTATTGAGAAGTGTGAAATGCCACTCATATCCAGTCTGAACCGAATCCGCGGGTATTTTGAAAGTGCAATCACATCTAGGGGAATCATTTGCATCATTGACCACAATAAGACAGCGTCTCATACAAGCAACAATTGAGTCATTCACAGCAGCTACAGTCGACTGCAATTTCAAGTGTAGAGGGAGCTGCATTGCTCGTAGACGTCCCTATACCGTGCGGCACTGACTTAGCTGATCATTTTAACTTTGACGTGCAATAGTCAAAATGTACGTAGGCTGTTATGACCAGGCTCAAGCAAGGGGTGTGGCACACGATCGTTGGTTACGACCCCCCCCCCCCCTGATTGCTGTCTTAATAAGACCCCCCCCCCCTGAACTATATACCTAAGATAGCATTAATAGAGTTGAGAAGGAGGTCAGGCACAAGTCTTTCGAACCCACCCCTCCCATGAAAGCCCTCAAATGACCCCTTCTTCCTCCTCTTAACCTCTGGACCTCAAAGTGTGACATTCTGGAGGACACCATCTTTTTCTAGAGAGTTTTCAGATTTCTGAGAGCTGTACGCGCGATTTTCTGTGACTGCGCTTTACACACGTGATTTGACGGCTGATTTTGATCTGAATGGGCATATTGAAAGGGCCATAATTTTCTTATGGGTGGGGCGTTCGGCTCCAAATTTCCAATGTAGCAAGAAGAGGCTATGTGCTCAATACTCATACCAGCAATGGAGCGCTTCCTGGATTTTGAAGGCAAGTTAAGGGGGTGCGGCACACCCCCTTAAAAGCTGCGGCAGCCGCAGCTTTTAAGGGGGTGTGCCGCAACCCATTAACTATATCAAAAAAACATTCTTAGCGGACAGTATTTATATGAATCGATAGCCTAAACCTCGTAGATTTCGTAGGAATGTTTTAAGCCTGATTCGTCTTCTTAGCTCTGAGTAATATTTGGTGGAAGCACAGCCATTAAAAGCGAAAAATGGGAAAAATGAGATTTTGGTTGGCTTCTAATTCCACGGTTTGGAGGTCTTTTGAAGCGGGATTTCTGAGACAGACAAAGAAGGAGTAGTGCTTTGTTTTGAGTGGAACGGATAGCTAATTCACCTTTGAAACAAAGTTAACTATGTTGGAATATGACCATTTCACTTAGGTAACCTAGTATCTTGAATCTTCAGAATTCGCTCAAACTTTGTCTACAGGGGTTACTTGACATGCTAATTATGGATATGATACGAATATCATGTTATCACTATTATCAGATTACCCAACTACGACCCCCTCCCCCTTTGACTCCTCAATACGACCCCCGGGTGTGGCGTGCCGCACCCCACGCTTGACCCTGGTTATGACTAACATAAGGGCAAAGGGAAGGAGAGGTTGCACGCTGCAAGTGGCGAATGAGGCTTATAGCATACAAATAACCTTCGAAGGAGGATGTAAAAGCATTTACTCAAAAATGCCGCGAATAAGTAGGTAAATAAGGTAATTGCAAGAACAAAAATAGAGCAAAGAAGTCGTGCCTAAAGGAAGGTAAAAATGTTCACCTACGAAGAATATAGCACAACATGAGACTTTTGATCACAGTATATTAGTCATACATATTAGCCGGCTTGGACAGATGAAGCACCGTACATAACCAGAGGATACTCAGGAAACGGTAAAAAACATGACCTGCGGCTGCTAATTGGTGGAATTAGCACCTCTCTCGCTCCTAGCCATAATACAGTCAATCGACAATCAAATCAGTGGTAGATCACTGACAATTCAATTTCTATTGAATGCGTCGAATAGTAGATACCAGGTGATCTTATGGGTGACCCTGAGCTAGCACTATCAAGACTACTGATTAGATTCCAATTAACTGTCCATTCATTTTTGTGCAAGAAAATGCTATTCTAGAAAAAAAATTGACGCAACAGAACACCAGTGATGAACTAACACTTCAAGTCAATGAATAAAAAAAACCAAGTGAAAGTAGACAGTGCTCGGCAAATGAGCAGAACGCAACGACCTTGAAAGGGTGCATTTCCCTCCAAAAACCGTAGATTTTGGATGTCTCTACTTGTTCAGAAACTTTCATATTCAAACTTGCTTTTGGTGCCGCTATTTTTTACTCTAATATTCGGCACTTATTCGCTACTCATATCGAACAGTTAACAGTACTAAGGCAACTGAGATGTAAGCATTATTAATAATTTTTATTGAGATTATAAACCATAATTTTGATTAAAATGTTCTCCATCAAAAATATGTGTATGCACAAAAACAATCTTGTACTTCCTTAGTTTCGTTTCTTTTGCAATCTTTCAAGTTCAGCTAGCAGGAAATTCGGAAAAAGAACCATGTCGAGTGAACTCAGTACAGTAGTCAACAAAGTCGTGTCATAGTAAAAGTGCAAACCTAAAATTGGAACCATTAGTTCTAGGAAATGATTACATAGCTCACGTAGCTTCTTTTGACATACCAAAGTCTATATCAAAAGACACAACTATTACAAACCAAAACATCGCATCAAGAATCACTTTAATGACCTGAAGTTAGTATTTTTTTGAACAGGGTATGCCAAATTACCGGCGCGTTTTTCTTCACTCCAGAAGGACACATGGCGGGCTTGATGGTGGTTCAAGCATGCATCTTTTCTCACCAACCTTCATCATTATAACATTGGGTCAGAATTTGGCTGCTTCATATTTGGAAAAAATCTCAAACCCTCTCAAAAGCAGGAGTGTGCTCCGTAGCACAACTTTGAAGGCAGCGTCCAGGCAATTCTGGACATTTTCGGATACCATCGTAACTGAATACTAGGACCTTGATCAGAACTATCGCGCAAATCCGACTCTCAAACACCCCCTGTAAAAGGAAAAAATCGGCGCTTAAAGGCAGTGTCCAAGCAAAAAGTGGATTTCGAGATTATGTGCTTACCTGGGCCTATTCGCTATGCTGAATTCGAAAATCACCACTGGAGAGCGCGAAAACGGCGAAAAAGGACTCTAACGGAGGAGGGAAATTGCAGGTGGGCGGGGCTGTTCACATAGTGGCGTCACTTTCCCAGCTTCAGGGGCAATCCTCTCGCTTCCGCTAACCGCACTAACACCACCATTACCCAACTACAAAACGTATGACAAAAATTGGAACCGAGAAGATCGCTCTCACAGCCTGAGAGAGTGACGTCGTGGTGTGAACGGCCCCGCCCACCTGCGAGTTCCCTCCTCCGTTAGAGCCTTTTTTTGCCGTTTTTGCGCTCTCCAGTGTTGATTTTCGGATTCAGCCTAGCGAATAGGCCCAGGTAAGCACGAAATCTCAAAAACTTTTTGCTTGGACACTGCCTTTAAAACGCCATGTCTCGAGGACTACGCCCACTCTCTCGCACGGCCCGCCCCTTGAACGAACTCTCCCCAGCCCTTGACGTGTTTTCACGTGGCTTACACAATTGAACACATAGTGTCTGTTAGTGCTTGCTTTCGACAAGAATAGCATTCGAAGCACCTGTCCACGGTTCTCGCAGAATTGTCTCAAAAAGAGGGTTCTTGAGGAATTTACAGATTATGAGTGCCATATTTGGAATCAGCGCCATGAAAAGGGTTGGATAAGGCAGTAAGGCAGGAAAGTAGAAATCGAGATTCTGCCCGGAGGCTGGCTTTAAGAATTTACCCGATATTTTCTCGAAAATCTTTTTCTCTTGTTCCCAAAGTGCGCAACGAAGTTGGAGCAAGTTTTCTTCTAACATTGTCAAATGCGAAAATTCGAGAGTTGAATCGAAGGTGGATTTTCCATTTTTCAGAAACATGCTTTGAGGCAGATATCAAAATCAGTGGTATCTAACTTTGTGAGTGCGCCTGGGAATAAGAAAATATTTCCTAAATCAGCTTCAAAACCACTTTCACGATTTGGTCTAGATGCTCTTTTACATTTCTCATTAACTGAGAAATGTTTTTTACCTAGAAAGCTTATGTCTGGAGTTTCACAAGCGATTTTGAACATTTGGTCGTTGCTCGTTGTACGCAGGTATTTTTCGCAGAAACATTTTCGTATTTCGTAAAAGAACAAATTCTTGTAAATGCAACTAGACAGTGTGATAGTGCAAAATGTGCTCCACAATTCTGCTTGGAATGATTCGAAAAGGCTTCGAGTTCATTCAGCTGCAAAGTAAAATGGGTGGGGGAACGAAAGCCGCCAGCTTGGGCCGCCTCCGAGGACTGCTGGTTCTGGAACGACATGCAACAACACTGCTAAAGGACCAGTTTGCCGCGAAAGGCGGCTCCAACTGGCGGCTTCCGTTCCCCTACCCGAGCAAAATATGAAAATGGAGAAATCATTTTTGCTTCTTTTTTTTTGCGAAACTGTTAGTCTGTTTCTCTCAATTCTCACATCCTTGTAAAGAGGTCTTTTTTGAATTTTGTAAAATGCTTCTTGTAATGTTTGTTTAGGTAACTCGATAACTTAAATTTGAGATTATATTCCTCAGTAGTTTTTCGTGGCAGTATTGCCCCTTCATTCACTTCGCAATTGGTCAAATCAGTGAAGTAACCAATAGTGAAGTGGATGAAGTTGATAAAATGGACAATCGCCTCGCTACTGGTCGATTCACTGATTTGACCAAGAGCGAAGTCGATCAAGTGGATCAAGTGGATCTTTATGGCGTATCCCCATAGGTCCCATTCTGGTAGTAAAAGTGGGATTTGATAAAAATAGCTGACAGTGCGTCAACCACCTCAGTTTCCATTTAACTTACCAAGAATTGCACACATAGAAATGCTAACCGATAAGAACGATTTGAAAATACCACTACTTTAATTGCACAACCGGCGCAATTCAGAACTGTCGACATAGAAAGTAATACTATGTAAACGGTTGCAACATCTGTAAATTATAAGGAACCTTGATTATTTTGCTTGATAAGCTAACTTTTAAAGTCTCAGTTGTCATTGCTCACCTCCTTTCATGTATACCATAAGTGAAAATGTAAAAACCCAAGCAGCCCATATGAAATGCAGAGACACAAAAGCGAAGAAAGTATTCCGAACAGCATACCTAGACTTATTGATTCGATAATGATCTATTGAAATGCTTTTGGATCAAGATGAATGTTCAACCGCGAACGATTCCTGCTTTCTACGGGGTCCTATCGTACCTTTTTGAAAGAAGTTTTGAACACCGCATAGAAGGAAAAATATATAAAAATGAACTCAAAAGATAAGTGGCCACACTTAAATAGTTGACAATGATAAGTCCATATCAATCGTGGTGTTGAAGTGTGATCCCATACCTAATAGTAGATTTTTCTTTTAAAGGCACGGTCCATCCTGAGGAATCCTGAGCTTTCGGCAGCATACAATATGTAGTAAGGCCCCTACCAAGCCAATCCCAAGTCATCTCGCTTCGGAAGCGAGAAAATCGCTCCGGAACAACGGAGCAGAGGACCCCGAGGTGGCACCAACCGCCGTTCCGGGAACCGGCCGCGCGTTCTCCGGAACGGATATTGTCGGAGTTCCTGCAAATTCTCAATTTCAAATTCGGAGAATATGAGAAGGTCCCGGAACGACAGGAACATGGAAGTTGAGAGTCTGAGTGGGCAATGCCTATGATATCTTGTGGGTGCGGTGAAGTTTGCGGTAATTGTGCGTGAACATATAGCTGTAACCGTAATGCAAGCAAATTTAGCCCGCATTGCCGACAATTCAGGCGTACTTCGTTCACGCGCAAATTTCACCGCAGAGTCTCGGCACCGCAAGCACACATTATTGAGCGGGTCTACTGGAACGTATTGATTGAGACAAAAAGAAATTTGAGTGTCTATGTCTGTCACAGATTTAGGTTCACAATTTTATTTATAATAAAACAGTAAATTACTAGACAGCTGCTATAAATAAAACGAGATTCAACAGTAAAATATTTGCAAATTTTGCAAAAGAAGAACTGCGCAAAACCAAACTACCGTGAAACAACTGTTCAGCTCAATCTGCAACACTCAGTCGATTTGATGATTTTTCCCAGCTTTCAAAGGGTAGAGCAAAGAAAAAACACTATACGGAAAATCACCAGGTAGGTCAAAGATCAGGTAAGATACATAACGTACAGGAAACTCAACAAACTTATACGGGACAACTTGACCACAATACTAAGTTTACACATCTTATAAATACTATAGTAGACATGTTAATCGCTTGGAGCCACCGTAATCACCGTAATAAATAGCATAGTACAAACAGAATTATTTTATGTAAGACAGACAGTACGAGAGAAAAGAGATCACTTGTCGTGCATACAAAAAATGCAGACGCCATAAAAAGTGCCTAAGAGAGTATTATCATATGCAGTGGAAAAGTGGTCGACCCGAAGTTCAGATTCCGACTCGCATACGCTAATAAAATTGCGTCATTGGCCAGTACTGTACAGGAAGGAAAGAATTGAGAAAGGAAAAGGGCTCATGATTGAGAACTGTGAGATGTCTTAGACTTCTTGGCAGAAGTTGAAGGGATCATGCCGCTGCTACCAGTTGCCGAGCTGGCCAACGACAACGCCGCTAAGGCTGTCGGGTCCATAAGGAGGGATTGCATCGCTAGTGGATTTGTCATTAACGACGCCATTAGCAACGGGTTCAGCAGATCTTCAGGCTAAAAAGACATAGTGAAAAATCTACCAACTCCACTTGAGATGTCCTCCAAAAAAAAGAGAAAAAAAGCAAGAACCAATCTAAAAAGCAAGATTACCTTGCCACCAGTTGAACTGGTACTCGAGGTCGACCCCGCAAGAGCGTATGGATTGAATCCTAGCAAAGACTGCTGCAGAAGCGTTTGTTGCATTAACATTTGCATCTGAAGAGCTTCCAGCTGCTGCTTCGTTGCTGCTTCAGCAGCTAGTGCAGCTGCCGTGGCATTCGATGATGATGCAGATGATGACGCTCCTACGATGAATGCTTTGCTAAGTGTCAAAAATTTCTCAATAACAAAAAAAATACAAACCTCCAAACAGGCTACTACTACTAGAGGGCTTTTCTGCTTTCACATTGGTCGAAGAGGAGGTGGTCGAGTTGGTACTCGTTCCCGCTACAGAATCACCGCCTAACCGATCTGGATGAGAGAGTCCCACAACTAGCTAAAATAGACAAGCTGGTCAGAACGATTTTACCAACAACAACAAAAAAGGAAAACCTGGTGCTATGATATAACCATTCAGCTTCACAGAAAAAATATTAACTTACCTGAGCTACCGGAACACTACTGCTGTGAACGTTTGCGTCCGGATGTGCATCAAGCCAAGATGCTAATTTGCTAAGCGTTGGCCACTTCGAAGCTGGAAGAAGTGCGCCACTCGACCTGGAAAAATGACCGATAATTTCTTGCTAGAAAAATTTAAAATTCAATGATAAGAACTCCGACAAACCTGCTAAAAACAGAAACAGGTCCATCTCCCGGTAATGAAGAGGCCGCGGCCACCGCTCCAGCATTGGAAGATTTCTTCGGAATTTCTCCAGGCTCAAGCTTTGGACTCAACGCGGGTTTCGGTGTGGCAGGTGCTGGAGTTGGTGCTGCGCTCACTGGCTTCGAGCTGGGTGCAGGTGTGGTGGCTGCACTGAGGGGCTTCGGGGTAGTTGGTTTGGGCGTTGGCGGTGCAGATGGCTTCGCGCTTGATGGGGCCGACTCGGATGCGTGTGTTGTTACCACTGGAGTAGGAACAGATGATGGCGGTGGTTCTTTTCCTGGAAAATATAGGAAAATAAAATAAAGTAGGATCCACTCGAAAAGTCCAACACACCTATGCTTGCAAGATCTAAAGTGTAAGTTGGATGCGTCGTAAGCCACGCGCTTAGATTTTTCAACTTTGGCGCAGCTTCTCCAAGCAGTCGTTCTTTGGTTCGAGTATCCTGCACAGGTATTCTCGTATCTAAACAACAGATATAGTTTGAATCAAACTCGCAACAATGGAACTAAGATAACAATGCTAAAAGCAAAAAGCAAGGAAGTGTTAGATGTTTAACCTGGTGGTAAGCTTGCCAGAATGATGAGCTCATTGAGTCCAAGCTGTCCCATGGCTGCAGACTGTTGCTGGTGTTGTTGCTGTTGTGAGGTGGATGGTGTAGGGGCTGAAGATGTGGATGGAGCTGGAGAAGACGAGGTGGCTGCTGTCGATGATGTTTCAGCCTAGAAAAAAAGCGGTATTATGAAAAGTTAAAGTAAAAAAAAAAAATTTACCCACCTTCTTCGTAAGATTCAGAACATCAGCTTCCGTTGGTACAACACCTGAAGCAGCACTAGCCAAAAGCGCTGCAGCCGCAGCTTGCTGAGCTGATGCAGATGCCGCAGCAGCTGCTGCCGACGTACCAGACGTGGCAGAACCGCCAGCTCCAGAAGCACTTGGTGTCGCAGTTCCACTTGCACCTGCTTAGCATATGTACACAAAATTCAAGGCAAACGAAGGCAATGCGAAGCAACACTAACCAGCCATAGCAAACAGTGATCCCAGAAGTTGCGCAGCCGCTGCATTGTTACCCATGAGCTGTGGCATAAACATAGCTGACTGTAACATCGCAGCAGCAAGCGGCAGATCTCCCATTTGAGAAAGCATAGACTGCTGCATGAGTGCGCGCATCTTTTGAGCGTCGGTGTCGACCGTGCGTTTGCGACCGCGCCGCACCTGGAAGAAGTAAAAATACTAAGTGAAAAGTGAAGTATAAACTAATCATACCTGCTGCTGTTGCCGTACTCTCTCCTCCACATCGCTATCGTCGACACTCTCTGTGCTTGCCGTTCCATTCCATTTGCCAGTTTCCACAGTTGTGCACACTTCAATAACACGCCGCAGAAGCGTCTTTTCAGTAGGTCGGATGATCTAGAAAACAAGAAATTTAGCTAAATGACAAGCTCATCATCAATTCTACCTTTTGGAAAGCAGGTTTTGCCAGGATGTTTGCCGAGATATTATCAATTCCATGTTGGTCACAAACAGATATGAGTTCCTTATCATGCTGAGTGGTCCAGCCAGATGGCATGGCTTCAGCAGAGCACAACTTCAACATCGGCGTGACTTTGTCAAGACCAGCTGCCAATGCATGGACTTTCCGGGTCAGATGCAAGCGATTCATGAGTTTCTGTGCTTTTCGGGACGTCATTGCATCTACGGATAACGCTCGTTTTGTATCGAGGGCAGAGAGTTCGCCTCCTTGCGCCTAAACAATGATAATTAGAACATATACTCGATGTGATTAGCCTGATCATAAGTGAGATTCGCTCTAGGCATTTAATGCACATTTGGAAGAGGAAAATGATCAAAAACATTAAAAAAACGCAAGATACGAGGGGAGTTATTTCGAGCTTTTGAAAAGAGCAAACCTTTGTGCACATTGCCAATATGCAGTATAGATGTTCTTGCATTTCCTCATCCGTCTTCTTTTCCAGAAGAGGCGAAAACGCTCGGAAAGCATCCCAGTCGATCATGGTCGGGTCATTCCTCTTGTCTTTCATGCCAAACGATCGCAGCACTCGCATGTATTCTTGTTCTTCGCGTCGGCTCCACCTACACTTCTTCTCTCTGAGTTTTATTCGCAAATGTTAAGTAAGCACAGCACCACACACCACATCCAAGAAAAAAGCAATGGAGTTAGAGCTTATGAATCTCATACCTCAACTTCTCATAGACCGGATCGTTGATGTTCCTTTGGCTGACAGCAATGAGACGTCGGAACCGCGCTCCTACTTCGGCTGCGCCTGGGAATGTCTCTGGAAGGCCAGTTTTCGTAGCAAAGCAAAGCGCCTCGTCGGCTCGAATGGCCTCGATATTATCCAAGCCTATAAAGAGGGGATAAATGTCAAGTCTGGCGCAATGCATAGCACTTTATGAAGAGGAAAGCACAAAATCGTACCATGCTTGTAGATACCGATGAGTAAGCATTTGTCACAGTCGACATCCCAGCCATCGCACATTGGTTCCACTAAAGTTGGCACAGTTATATCGATTGACGACCAATTAGCGCCTGCTTCGATTTCTGCAGCTTTTCCAGCGATGATTGTCTAGAAAGCACCATTAAGTTCGATAGCCATGATGCAAAACACACAACGAATTTCTCTACCTTTTGCAAATGTCTCAACTGATCAATCTTCACTAAAAGCTTGTTCGCATGCCGATGTACGTGACGTTGAAATGACGCATCCAATGCGAAGTTGGGTGGATTGAACTCAGGAAGTGCAGCCCAACCCTGAATTTTGCTCATTAAGCAAGTATTAGACAAATAAAAAGATGTAGAGCCGACCTGGTGATATATCGACTGTGATCCTTTGGCCTCTTTAGCATTTTTTGCTCCCTGGGGTGCGATCATCTGCCATACAGTCTGTCTGATCTTCTCATCTCCTCGATATTCCCTCACACAATGCAGCAACAATGTTCTTGCCATATGAGCGATGTCCATTTCGGATACCTAAGCGATGAAACTAGCAACAAGTACTCACATTATAAAGCCTTAACATACCTCCAACTCTCCACTCTTTTTCATCTCGGCCCATCGTCCCCACCCCCAAGAGGCAAGCACTTTTTCGACCTGTAACGAGCGCAGCTTCAACAAAACGCCTGGTAAGGCAAAATTTCAGATATCTACAGACTATGACTAAAGGTTCTAAAAGCATCGGCAGCCCCCAAAAAACATGCATGAATTGCGCACAAAGTGGTCTGCGGCAACCTCACCTTGAAATACTCGCTCTTATTGAAAGCCAATTCATCCGGTCTATAGTTGACATAATCGCCATCTTCATCGTCACCGCGCCTTCGTTTGCGACCGCTGCTTTGAGAATTGGCTCCTACAGAACAATAAAATTACAACAAAAGAGGATCAAATCCACTAAACTTACCAGTTCTTTTCCTTCCTTTGCCCAACTCATCGCTGCCATCAGAGTCTTCACCTTCTTTTAGCGAGTTGTCTTCGAAGCTGAAGCAGCAAGATTAGTGTAACGAAGTGGAATGAGCAAATTGTACTTACCGCTTAGTACGTTTTCTCGGTTCTTGCATGATGAGATCACGACCATCAGGAGTTGCTGTAGCCTTCTCGATGTCCACCTCAAAAAACCACAGATAAAATGGTAACGGATAAAGAGTAAGACACAAGAAGTAAAAAATTGTAAGTTTAACAACCTGCGCTTTCTCGGCCCATTTCGTCCAGAAGTTAGGATCATCAATGTCAATGTCATCACCACGATTATTCGTTGAGTTGAAAGCGGCTTTAGCGAACAAAGAACCCTGAAGAAATGACCTCATTAGAAGAAAAATCTAATTTTCGATCTGCAGATACTACAAAAAAAACAATGCTGACAGAAGTTCATTTAAAAAAATTGCGAAAAAGTATTAGTAACGGACCTTCTGTCCCGGTTCCAAGGTGATTGTTGTTGTTCGTCGTTGAAGGATCGTTTCAATATCTTCCTCGCTGAATTTGCTGCCTTCATCGACATTTTCGTCCATAATGGACCCATACGCACCCTATAAGCTTGCAAATTCCTCCTGACTTGCGAAGTTCACAACAATGACTTACCTTCTTCAACAACTCTTCAACGTCCTTCTTGCTCAATGCCGTGCTGCTTTCTTTGAGAGCTGTAGTGGACTGCAGTACAGCTTTGTCCAATCCAAGTTTTAAAGATGCCTTATCGAACATCTCCCTTTCATAGGTGTTGGCTGTGACTAGTCGATACACTTTGACCATTTTGGTTTGACCAATACGATGACATCTGGAACATGAGGGATAAATGCAGCAAAAGTCAGATTTTAGAAGCTATTTACCTCGCTTGTGCTTGCAAATCATTCTGCGGATTCCAATCGGAATCAAATATGATAACGGTATCGGCAGCTGTCAAGTTGATACCGAGACCACCAGCTCTGGTACACAACAGGAAGACAAAACGATCAGAATCTATAAATTACCAAATAGTACATGTCAGGGATAATCCTGCTAAAAAATCACCTTTCTTCGAGAATCGATCAATAGACGCTTGTCGCAAGTCTCCACGAACATTTCCATCGATTCTTTCGAATGGATAGTTCATGTTTACCAAGAACTCCTCCAAAAGATCCAGCACTTTCACCATTTGAGAAAAGATGAGCACCTTAAAAGATGCAAATTACAACGTTGAACTAGGCAAAAACCATGCTTACTTTGTGTCCGTCCCTCCTCAACTTCGGCAGCAGTTTCTCAATGAGGACCACCTTTCCAGATGCTTGTACTAGAGCTTTGTGAGCCAACGTCTCATCGTCCCAGTCAGGATGCAACATCTTCAGCTCAGACATGATGGTCTCTTCGGCACCCTGTAATCAGATAGATATTTACATATGCAGTGTAAAAAGTGATAATGAGATTTACGAGACCGATTTGCAGTCGATAGGGGCACACCTTACCTGTATGAGGAACGGATGATTACAACACTTACGCAGCTCCATCATCACATTCATGAGCGACGGCGCCGATGCACCTGAAAGATGAAATTGCACACTGACTATACTCATCAGATGTTTTACTTATCATGAAATGATGAAAGAAAACCGATTACTAAATAAAAACATACCCTTGCACAAGTGGGAGAAGTTCCTCTCAAGAATAGCACGATAGAACTTCTTTTGTGTATCGGAAAGTTGCACCTACAATGTAAGAATTGTGCTAGCTCAATCAGAATTTGTTTCCTGATAAAAGTGACTGATGAAGAGAGCAAAAGAACGGAAGCGACTTGATAACCAGGCATCCTTACCTCGATAATAGTTTCCTCTTTGGGCTGCAATGACTTTTCCACATCTTCTTTGAGACGACGAAGCATCATGGGTTTCAGAATTTCTTGCAATTTCTGCACTTGTTCATCTGACTGGCACTGTCCGAACTGTTCGAGGAATGCAGCTGGAATGGAAGCGTGTACCTTATGAAGGTGAAATAGCTATGCCTACAAACCTGAGCTACTAAACTGTTGTGGATGTAAAAAGTTGAGCAAAGAAAACAATTCCTCAATATTATTTTGCAGTGGTGTCCCAGTCAGCAATACGCGATGTTCCATTCGGAAAGCATGCAATCCTGCAACACATCACCTTCAGTCGATGAATTTGAAGGAAGAAACTAAAAATCGTGCTTAGACACGAACCACCTGTCAACAGCTTGCAGTTTCTATTCTTAAGTCGATGTGCTTCGTCAATGACGCAAACTCTGTAGGGTATCTTTCGCAGGAATTCGCAGTCCGTGACAACCATTTCGAACGTCGTTATCAACGCATCCAGTTTCACAAGGTTTTTGCGGTAAGACTAGAAAGAAATACGATAGATCCGAATAATCAGCAAGACATATAGAAAGCATCACGACTCCATATCACAGATAGAATCAAAAGGGCTCACTAACTTTGCTTCCACCAGAGTGCGTTTTTGAGTAGTAAATCTCATATTGCTGGATGACATCACGACTGTGCTGACTTCCATGATAAACTACGGCATTCATATCCGTCCAAGTCTCAAATTCACGTACCCAGTTGTGAATTGTGGAAAGAGGAACAACAATGAGAAAAGGGCCATGGATCCCATACCTGAAAAGGAACAAAAATTTGGACCGTCATGTTACAAAGTGAGACACAGCAATACGAATGCGTCAAGCATCATGAAAAGAATTATACGATTTTATCAAACCAAACAAAATAGCTTACTCGTAAATTCGTGATAGGAACGTGATGGTTTGCACCGTCTTTCCAAGTCCCATTTCATCTGCTAATATGCAGTTCCTCCTGAACGATATGTAGACATGTTTATAAAAAATAAAGTTCAAAAAGATAACTAACTCATTATAGTAACAGTACAGCAACCAGTCCACACCCTCGAACTGATACTCTCTGAGGCTGTTACCATCTTTCCACACGATGTCTTCTGGCATCTTGCTCCATTCACTAGCTTTCGGTCTCGCTTTCTCCTTCTGAAAGGATTGAAAAAGAAGTGAGAAAATTGTAAAGTATTACACCCGCCAGATACTTACCACTTTTGCTTTGTCTACGATCTGTCGCTTTTTCCAAACAGCAACTTTGTCCTCAGGGACACTTTCTACAGGTTCCCACGTCACTTCATCATAAGCAAGACTCTTCCATTTGATGAGAGCATACTCTAAGCCGTCATCGCCTAAACCGAGGTCAACAACCCGGTCGACGACGGTATAATCACTGTTGAAGTCCTCCTCGTCCTAAAGCAGATGATGTAATGAATTCAATCATACAACAATTTCACTAGATTGCTCACCACATCATTTGAATGTGCTCTTTTCTGTCGGAAACGTTTGACTTTACCTACGGCACGCTTATCAACTTCTTCCAGCTCCTATAATATGAGACTTGAAGAATACCGCAATCAAATTTTCTTCTGTAAACTCACCTTTAAAGTTTTCCATTCACAGTGAATATATGCTTTTCCCTTCCATTTCACCAGATATTGCGAATCGGCCCCTTCCGGATCGCGACAGTTGAGAATCTGAAAAAGCTTGGTGGAGTAAGTGAAAGCAAAAATCTAAGCAACTGTGACTAAAGACACTGATATAACCCCTGAGTTCACAAAGTCATGCCCTCAAAGTGAAAAATTACCTTTTCGACAATTTGATGGTCAGTTGATTGCGTCTCTTGAGAGTCATTTGTCAGAATGGAGTCTTCAGCATCATCATCAGCTGTCTCAACTGCTTCTGCCCATTTGGAAGTGCTCCGCTTCTGGAATGAGTGACATTTACGATTGCACAACGGTTATCGAGACAATCACAATATAGAAAATATTACTACACACATGAATCATTTTCAATAAAATAGAAATTTTCAATAGAATAGATAGCTAACCTCATCTTCATCCCCACCGGCGGCTTCTTTCGCCAACTTTGCGCGCTTATTTGACTTTCGACGCCCATCAGGAACAAAATCGTCATCGTCGTCGCCCGAATCGTCAACGCTCTTTTTCTTTCGCGACTATAATAATTAGATTAATTCCACAGTGAATGACAGAAACCGCAGACAAAGAACGAAAAAAGCGTATGAACTCACTCGGACTACCGTTAACCTCTTCGGCTTTCGACCTTCGGAGGAGATGGTAGCTGGTGCAGGAGTCGATGGCTCCGTAAATGCACCATCGGTGGAATCCGCAATTTCGCTAGGCGTTGCGTCTCGTTCTTCAGAATTGTCTTCTTTAGACAGAGCAGCTACCTGTACGAAAATACAGGTCAATTACTAGCATCAAAAGGGAGATCCTGACTCACTCTATCCTTTTTCCTGGACTTCTTCGTTTTGACAACCGGTGGTTCACTTTCAGTGACCTCGCTCTCTCCCGGAGAAGGTTCTCGACTGCAATTAATACGTTTATTGCTCATACTGCAGTATGATCCTACGCGCAAATGGCTAGCAAGTAAGCTGAGATACCTGCAACTGGGTCCAGGAGTAGGTTCATCTGAATTTTCCTCCTCGACTTCAGCTTTAGGCTCTTCTTCTTCAGCTGGCCCGGCACTAGCAGCAACGAAATTTTCGTTGACATCCTGAAAACAATCCTTAGTTTCCAAAAAAAGTATTCTAACTGATTGTAAGATGAATAGAACTGTATATCACCTCGGCTTGTTCTTCCTCATCCTCGTCCTTCAAATCCTTCAAATCGTCACCAGCAGCAAGAGCAGGCTCTGTTTCATCCGACAAAGTGGAATAATCGGCTGGTGCTATAGAGCTGGCACTTGTCGCCGGAGGATTCGGTGACGGAGGAATTTCCTTCTCTTCGTCGACTTCTGCAGGTGGCTCTTCCACGGTTTCTTCTGGTTCTTCAGTCCGCATTGGAGGAGTAGCGTCATCTCTGAACAGCAAAAACTAAATACCTTCGTGAAGAAAGTGATAAAGAGGATTGCTTCACCTGTCGTCGAATAACTGAGCAGAAGGTTGGATGATGGGTTCAGGAACTACTCGTGCTGGCTTGATGTCCGCTTCCTCAGGTGGTGGAACAACTTCGACTTTGGGTAGAGTGATTTCCGGCTGAATAACAAACTATGAGGAAGAAAATCAAATCGTCGCCCGATTAAAAGCGTAGCTTGTGGAGCAAATACAAATCCAATGACTTGCTCACCTTCTTTTCAACCTCGTCAACGGACTTTCTTGGCTCTGCTTGTGGTTGAACGTCGGCATACGGATTGTATACCACGGGTTTCTGTTCAACACTTACAGCAGGAGGAGTTGGCTGTTGCTGTGGTTGCTGCTGTGCTGCTTGGGGTAACTGTTGCTGACCCATAGCTTCCACAACACCTTGTCCATGGACTAGCTGCAATAACAAATGAAGGAATGTCAATCAATGTCCGATAGAAATAGCAATATGTACATCAGTGAAAGCTTAAATTATAAAAAGCACTTACGCCATTATTTTGGAAACCATTATCCATTCCATTAACAGGCATCGTTGGCTGCTGTTGTTGATGGAGCTGTGATGGTTGCATCTGTGGTGGTGGTTGAACCTGCTGATGAGGCGGTATCATATGATGCTGCTGTTGAGAAGGTATTTGTTGCATATGTTGCTGTTGCTGTATCTGTTGTGGCTGTGGATGATGTTGAGAAGGTGGCGACATCATTTGTTGGGAATCCTGAAACTACAGTTTCAAAAACCGAAAATATTTCTACATGATACTCCTACCTGATACTGCTGCTGTTGCGTTGGTGTTGGCTCTGGAGGGACTGAGTCCTTTGCATCTCCATTGAAAGCTTCATCTCCATTTGGAGACTCACCAAATCGATGATATACACTAATCAATGTTCGACCTGACGTTTCCGGCTTGATATTTACCTAAAAATTGCGAATTCGAGGCCTAATTATGTGATATAAGGAAAATTCTTCTCTGACCCCTAAAGAAGTAGAAAAGAGGACATCGTCACATATAAGTTCTATAGAACAAAACAAAAATATATTACGTCACATATGACACTGTTGCTGTCTTCCCTACATAATCAAAAATCTATGACTCAGTTCGAAATGAGAAAAAAAAACACAGCGGCACATTACCTGAACTTGGCTACCACTCTGCGTGACTTGAACCGGTGTGGTAGGTGTTGCTGATGGACTCTGCTGTATCACTACTTGCTGACTAGGCGGCCCAGTACTAGGCCCACTGGGTGGCCCCATTCCTGGTGGCATCTGAAGTATTGCAATTAACAAGAAGCAAAAGAACAGAAAATGCAGAACTATGGGTGACAGATGACTAAGGGTAATATGCATAAGCAATGATTACCTGGCTCATTGGCATCCCTGACCCTGCAGACATCGGTGCCATAGCCCCTTGTGCTTGTTGCTGTTGTTGTTGGGATTGCTGCTGTTGGGGAGCGGATAAGGGCTGAGCAGCTTGCGCACTCATCTGCAGACGATGATGCTCCGCTTGCAGGTACTGAAGACGCATTTGCACCTAAAATTATTGAGATAATGTTTAAGTTGAAACTTCAAGCGAGCGTCATAATTCGCTCGCATTATGACACTTTATGATCAATAACACTAGGAATACTAAGACGTATCAAAACAGGACATGAGAGCAAATGAATAACGCTCAGTTGAATGTCAAAGACACGCCAAAATCACATCAGTTGGTTTAGGCGAGTCATTCTCAACTGTTTCGCGATGCTACTTTTTTTACAACTGCCAACACAGCAGGACGTTCTAATCAACGTGGCTGTAGCACATATGATATAATGGAGTTAAAATATGTAGAACTTGATGTAGATACACAAAGTAACATAAACTTATGCCGCTTAGTTCTTCACAATCCAGGTAAATGAGCGGAAGAATAAGCAAGCGTAAACAAAAAGCAAAAGTGCCAAGCTCACGACAAACGACAGTTCAGCAAAAAATAAATTGCTCTGACTAAACATCAAATCTCAACTTACAAAGAAAACTAGCGTACCTGCTGCAACTCCTGCTCAACCATTGGTGTTCTTTGCTGTTGATACAGATGTTGCATTCGTTGCTGCATCCCACGCATTTCCATTTCAAGATGGTAGAGTTGCTTAAAAGGCAATTTCTCGGACGTCTGAACATTCTGAAGAAAAAATCCTCTAATTCGCAATGAGACACTATCTATTGCGAAATATTATAAGTTCACTGAAAACTTTCTATCTGCACGCGTTCTCATAACATTTTGTCACAGATTCTATGACACTCACACAAAACGACAAAAGAAAAAAAAACTCCAGTCGGCACTGTGAAGTGGAACGTTCACGGAAGTAGATTCAATGATAATTTGCAGAATTTGTCGACGTGCACAAATTTGAAAAAGGAAAGAAGGGTGCAAATAAGGTGACTGGAAACAAGTAAAAGAGTTATATGGTACCTGAGATGATTGTTGCTGCTGGCCCCATTGGTCAGGCTGGCTAGGATGAATGCTAGGACCACTCTGTGGCGGTTGCTGTGGTTGTTGCTGTTGGTAATAGGGATGCTGTTGGGGCTCCCAGTACTGGTTCTGCATAGACATCTACAAGAAAGTTTGAGATAAATGAGTTTGACATCCGCCAATAACCAGATTTCCAGAAACTCACCGGTTGTTGCCCTTGAGGGTACTGCGGTCGCAGTTGAGGGGGAGGGTATTGCTGCGGTGGGTAAGCGCCTTGAGGTGGTGGTGCTCCATACCCATAGTGATTCGCAGCCGGCGGTTGTGGAGCTCCATACGCTCCTGGTCGTGACTGTGGCGCTTGTTGTGAAGGATACATTGGCTGCTGCATTGCTGGGTACCCGGGTTGTGGCGCATACTGAGGCCGATAGCCAGGTGGAGCACTTTGTGGCGGAAAGTGCGGAGGTGCCTGCTGCGGTGGGCCGGCAGCACCGTACATTCCCATTTGGCTAGTCTGAAAATTGAGTAAATCGATTTGTAGAACCTTCAAATGGTCTAGGATGAGCCGAAAAACTCTTGTGAACCGGTTCTAGGTGCTCCAAGTAAAACGGCGAAAAAGCAATCATAATTTACAAACAGCAATACGATTTCTAAGAAACTACCAACCTGTGGTGGGTACATGCCGCCCATTTGCTGCATTGATGGTCGCATCATGGGATTATTCGACATGGCGGCCATACTTTGCATAGGATCCATCTCTTGCTATAACAGCATCAACTATACCAATACCAACAGCAAAATTACTCGAGAAGTTCAAAATTTTTGGATGCTTGAATTCGATGCTATTTTCTGATTGTTTCTAAGCAGATGTAGAACCAACACCAGAGAATGACTAAAGTCATAGAAACTCAGCCATAGCAATAACGAATGATTATAATGCCCAACAAAACGAAACAAGTGTAGTATAACGCGGAAAGCTAGACGCAGAATGAGGATCTGGCGAGGTCCAATATAGCGCAAAACCTCATGTAATGGATGGCTCGTTCGGGAAATGAGGTGCACTTCCACGTTTTATAACCGACATCAAATAGGTACTGCGATTTTTCAATTTCCGTATAAAGCAACGCTCTGCGGAAGATGTAGACAATTATTCTAAGTGGTTTCCTGTATTTTCAGTTAGAAGCACATGATATATGTAAATAATAGTTTTCCTCAAATTTTTCTCCAGATCTTTACAAAAAGAATCAAAGAGGGAGAATTAAAACCTTTTTCTTGGAACGACTTTTCGGCGTTGGAGCTGGTTTCTGTACAGGTTGTGCAGGTTGACCCATCATCATCATCTGCTGTTCGTATGGATTATTCATTGGGGTCAATCCGCCACTCATCGATGGATAACCAGGAACAGACGGTGGCTGGCCTGAAATGGTCAGAGCACGAATTGCGATAAGCACTATCAGCTCTTTGAGGTAAAAACGATCTTAGCAAAGAAGTAAAGTCAAATGCAAAGAGGAGAGATAAGAAGATTGACAGAGCAAATTGCTCGCTAACCTTGTGACATTCCCATGCTGCCCAATCCTCCATAGTCGCCCAATTGCGACATCTGAGGCACGTATTCGTCGCCTTCATCCATTATTTTCTTGTTCTAATTCTGATCTATACAGATAACGCAGTCAACAGTTTATCATCTGAAAAAAATAAGTGATTATTCTAGTACGACTAGAGTTCAATCCGAATGTAACGATGGGACTCTGCAAGAGGTCACAATACAAAACGTACGAAAATTAAAAACGTACGAGGTTGCACCGGTGGCACGAGTGTAAACATGCGAAATGTTCGACTATCAACAGTGATTGATAACAAAACAAAATCAATGCAGCGAAACATCCGATTGTTAAAAAAAAAAAGGAATTTTGTGATTGTAGTGATCATAAAGCGGTTGCATCAGACGAAGAAAGGTAATTCAAACTTAACTACAGCTGACTTTGCAATGAGATGTTCCATTTACCAGAAAGCAGGAAAAGAAGTGAAACAGTAGGGAATTACTGCTCGGATTCAGAAAACCAGCGGAACAATGACTAATGTCAAAAAAGCTACAGATGGGGCAATCAAAGAACATTCATACCACACATCGTCAGAGTTGCTGGATGATAAATTTACCGAAAGGTTAAAGTTTTAATTAGAAAAAAACTAACTTGACATTTATAATGAACAGGGAACACTCTTGCAAAGCGTTAGGTATCGAAAATCATGCGCAGAAGATGTTAAAAGAATTTGAACACTTCCAAATCTTCATGTCAATTTTCTTATTTCTTATTATAGCCATCTAGATCGCAAGCAGATCATGGCTTTTTTCCCATAAAAAAACAAAACTGAAAAAATATGAATATGTATACAGTATGATATGGAAAAAAGGAAAGAAAAAGAAACGGCGCACAAACTTACAACAATTGCTGTAATTATTTGGATTTAGTCACGATCGAAAGCCACATGTGCAGTGCAAGACAAGTTGTTTGAACAAGCGTTCGACACCGCGATAACTGTTTAGTCGAGTAATCGATTGGGAGTGTAGCGATGATTTCAAGACTAGTTTAGGCTACCTGCAAACCTTAATTTTCAATGGTATTTCGGTGGTAATCGACAGCCGAAGCAGTGCACATGAGAAACGCGAACTTTTTTGCTAGTTTTCGCCATGGAAACTTCGGGAAACTTTGCAAAATGTCTCGAATACTTTCGAGTCGAGTGAGTAGGCGGTTAGCAGTTGATTGACTGCCGAGGCCTAGCTGTGGCTTCGAATGTGAGTGTGAGTGACCTGGTGCAGTTGTTTTGCTGCGCATGCTGCACACACCACCTTACGAGACGAGCCAATCAATACGAACAAACACCCGACCAACACATCCCCCCCCCCCCCGATTCTACTGGTCAAAATCACCGAACACTTGCATCGATTAGCATTCTTGATCGCTATCTAGGCAATATTTTCACATCGTTTGCAGTGCTTTCCGCTTGAATGGAAATTTCAAACATCCTATATGCTTTTTATGGAGCAAAAATCGATGGAAGCATAGAACACAAAGTGTGCGAGAAGGCATGCATTCGTCAACAAATCTCCTTCACTACAGTAAAAGAAAGAACATATTTCACTTATTATTCAAAAAATTCTGACGGTGCCCTATGAATGAGCGGGAAAAGGGTGAGGAGAATATTTCAAAGAAATCATCATAGGTAACATAAGCAAAAACAACTTCGCAAACTGAAAATTATCAGAAGTATTCATTCAAAAGTATTCAAAACTCAAGGTTGTTTGGGACTGGACACGAAAAGATAAAAAATATCTCAAACTCCGAAAGTACTGCTCTTCTCTTTTTTCAATTTCGCGCCTTTGCATTACGAAACAAGAAGAAGGGAGAGAGAGAGCGATCGGCGAAAAAAACCCCTTCTGCAAACACTGGGACTACTGAGCGCCAAAAAACCAAATGAAAAACTGCCGTACTACAGAAAAGATTTTGCAATTGCTGCAAAATTTGTGAGCAAGGTCTTGTACTAGATGTTAGAGCTGTTCACTTTGAAAGAAATTCCGATAAAGAAGTAGTTTAAATGAAAAACGATTAAACGACAGCGTTACCTCAAATTTTGAATATTTCCAGCTACCAGCATGTTTACCCACTCTGATCACTGTACCCTGGAACCGAGATAAATTTATATAGCAGTACAATGATTTGAAAAGAAGAATGCGAAACTACAAAGCAATTGAGAGCCAAAAAAGGAGGAAAGGACATCGTTGACACACAAAGCGACATGCAGCTCTTTGAGGCGACGCCGACAATGCAGGAAGAGGGGATCGGCGCGCCATCGCAAATTTGAACATTTCGATAAAGTTGAGGGCTGAATTTATTCAGTAATGACTGGGAGACATAGATTTTGAAAAAGCAGCTCAAAACATCCCGTTCTAGCACCTTCGATCGCGCAGAGAACAAAAATCAGCTGCCGACAACGAAGAGAGCATGTGGAAGCGGAGTGTGCAGAATGCGGACAAACGCGCGGTGCGGCGACTCGCTGGCGATCAGCCAATCGCGACGGCGCGGAGATGGCCTTGCGCCAGCAGATGGTTCCACCTCTTTGGAGCCCTCTTCATCTCTCTTCGCTCCTCGATAATCCACTAACGACAACCCGATTATTATCGCATCGCGGCCCATATATGTAGCCCTTCGTCACTCCGAGGCCCAAGCGCTACCTCCATTCGAGACATAACAATCAATGCACTGCATACACAAATGCACTCAAGCAGATAGCCAGACACAGTCTGGAGGATTTGATAGTGCATGCGCTTAGAGGCTGTCCCCGAAACCACGTCACTTCGATCCATTACGACCACTGCCGCGCGCACGCCTAAATGTTTTGAAGCATAAGCCGAACATAGCGACTATTCTCGTGATGTAGGGAGTGAGAAGAGATGGTTCTAACTTTCTGCTTTTCTTGCATTTCGATACCAACTGATGCAACTATTTCATGGTCATTACCAGACAGCAAATTCTAGTATTACGTGCTGGGATATAAAGTGTGTAAAAAATTCGAGGGACAGAACCGAAACGATTGAAATCACATAATGGCCAATTAGTCCATAGTCGTTATATTTACTATTATTATGTGCCTGATCTCAAGATTCACTGAAAATCGTTGAAAGGTTTAGAGTGCGTTCGTAGTTGCCCGAATCCGAATTGGATCAAAATGCGCAAAGTTTGAACGCTTGCGCGCCATCGCGGTATCATGTCCGCATTGGGGAATAGCAGTCTATTTTGCTTGACCGATCATACAATCGGCTGTTGATTACTTTTAATTTCGACATCTGCAGTCTGTCACTTCGCATAGGAGTTTGCCTTGAAACACGTAAGCATGAATCCGAGTTTGCATTGGTGCGCATGTGCATTGTCAAGATTCTGCGCGAATTCCCCTAGCTGCCATGACATGTTGCAGGACAAAGTCTTTTTCTTTTTTTTTCCTGCCAAGCATATACTAATCACGCCTAGGTATCATCAGCTTCCAGATTCGTGTGGAGGTGGAGCCTTGCCAACTCACCGCGTGGCGGTTTTTGCTAGTGAGAGAGTACGAAAAGCAATGCTATAACGTAGAGGTTTAACAAGTTTACCTGCCTTATCAGGTAAAGTCTGCAATACACCTCCACATGAATCTGGAAACTGATCATATCGTCCCCTCCACAGGTCATGCTACCCTTGGTCTGCGTCAGACCTGCCACGTGTGGCTAACATGTTGGCAACGTGGCAACAACATGTTTGCAACATGCCCCAACATGTTGGCAGAACATTTTGGCCACGCCAACATGTTGGGGCATGTTGCCAACGTGTTGCTGCCAACGTTGCCGATGTGTTAGTCACACGTGGCACGTCCGCGACGCCACAAGGGTAACGCGATCTGTGGAGGGGACAATACATCGAGTATAGTCCCCTCCACAGATCGTGCTACCCTTGGTCTGCGTCTCAGACCTGCCACGTGTGGCTAACATGTTGGCAACGTTGGCAGCAACACGTTGGCAACATGCAGCAACATGTTTGCGCGGCCAAAATGTTCTGCCAGCATGTTGGGGCATGTCGCAAACATGTTGTTGCCACGTTGCCAACATGTTAGCCACACGTGGCAGGTCTGAGACGCAGACCAAGGGTAGCACGATCTGTGGAAGGGACGATAGATTTTCCGTTTAATACAGTGTGCTTGCACTGAAGGTGAAATGCGGTAGAATTTGCGCGTGAACAAGTAGCCACGCCAGTAATGCCAGACTTTTGCGCGCGCAACTGACCGGCGTAATGCGCAAATTTTTACCGCATTTCCCTTCAGTGCAAGCACACTATATTAAGCGAAAAATCTACTAAACTGTACCGCAACCCTTGCAGCTTCGCCAACAAACCGCTAGCAAGCACGCTGACTATGCTTGCAGCTGTAGGCGACACTCACCATAGCAAAAAAATTTACCCTATTTTTCGCTACATGTGATATATCAGAGATGGTATTTTAGGATATATCTCAATGCGGTGACTTTTAGGACAATAGCACTATAGCTATTGATCTCCCGTTATGAATCATATGTTCTTGCGATAACAGAGACTGAACAAGTGCATCCGAGGACCGGGCCCATTGATCAGCTATAGCTGCTGCAGAATTGCGACCGGTTTCTGCAGTCAAGGTGAGTTGCGGACTTGTCTAAGATCCTCCGAAGTTGAACGGTATGAATATGAACAACTCTTTATAGCTGTGTCTTCGAACCTTTTGGTAAATCCTAGGGAAAGACTTCGTGTGATTTTTTTCTTCAAAAAAAAAGACGTAAAATATATAGCCTGAGAACATGCTGGATCTTCTTTTAGTACCGTCGCAAAGCAGCCCTTTTGCTGTCTTTGACGCGTTGGTAAAGTATTGACAAAGAAATGACGCGCCAAAGGCAGCGCAGCGGTGCGAGAGGCATGCGAAACGGTCACCTGTGGGAAGAACGCGTTAACACGCACTATAAACATCGCATTTTCCGCTCTGAAACCCCAATTGTAACACACCCTAACCTAGAGCGACGTAGATGTAGAGAACCGTTTTCTACATAACACTTTCGTATCAAAACAGGAAATTTTATTTGACGTATGTACAACACCAAGACCACGAATTGACCTCTCAGTGTGCACATTCATCGAGTTTACTTTGATGTTCCTAGTGCAAACTTATAAATCATAACAATCCGTCAATAGCCGGAGTTCTCCACCAACCTTCTGTGGGAGTAAAGTACGTTTCGAGTACAAACCATACATGCGTCAATGATCCAAGTGAAACAGAAAATTGTCAAGATTATACTCGTTATTTTTGTCAAAAAAAGGACCTACTCAAGAAAAGATTTCATTGAATTGTTGTGTACTTGCACAGTGAATTCACTGAATCTTCGTCTAATGGCGAACGTTTTTAATGAAAAGTGACTTTTAACGACTAGTATAATGCCGTTACGGTGGTGACAACATTTGCGCGTAATCAATGCTTGCTTGTTAAATGCCGACAACGTACTTGCGACTTGCACGAAAAACGGCCACAGAGCATACAACATCATTGTTCACGCGCAAATGTTGTAGGCAACGAAGAACACTTTTTGAACAAATTGAAAGAAGGTAAACAACTGATATGAGACCAATGCTCTAGAACTTTTGCTTTTATATTTATTTATTTTTTTTCATAATTTCAATGTACCAGGAAGACTCCGCACCACATCGTCATATCCAAAAGAGCAGACAGTTAGTCTGTACTTTACCTTTCTGAATGATCGGTAACAGAGGTAATTCGATTTTTTGTATGCAATTTGAAATCTTAAGTATACGGCATTCGAAAAATCGTGACGACGGCGCGACCGCGCGCGGCACGCACGCACCTCCCGGCAACCGCATTTTTAAGGTTTTCATCTCTATTCTGATGCCATAGGATTCAAAAAATCCTCTACTTGAGCGCGGAAAAATTCACACTCTCGTACTTGAAATTAGCAATCGATTATCGATCAAAAAATGCGATCGTTAAATTGACCGCTTTTTATGAACGAGGCAATCACAAAGTGCATTAGCATCACGAGAGCATGTGTATCCAGATGCCATAGGCAGAAAAACGACTGTGTCCAACTAGTTCTATGTAATGCACCATTTGCTCGTAACGCTCAGATACTTTTGTATGTGTTCGAGGGAAAAAAGATGACTGACGTTGAGGTACAATGTGGGAACTTGACGACTATTGTGTATGTGGTTCAGAAAAAAAAAAAGAAAATGGAGGGAACAGGTAAGAGGAGGAGATTTCAAGGATTGACGCCGGACGAATTTATTATGAAAAAAATAGTCAAGATAAAATTCAGAGATAAAAGCATTGCAGAGAGACAGCGCATTACAGTATTTTTTATCAAAATGTTGAAAGAACAAATATCGGCAGAAAAAACTGTTATTCATCATTTGATTTCTTATAATATTTACTCATTATTTATTCAGAATCACATTTAGACTCCGTTTTACTTCTAACTAGCTTTTTGCAAAATATCCCTCAGAAAATCATTTTTTTGGATATAAGTCAGAAAATTGCGTCAGAAAAGATTTTGACAGACTTCTCAAAATAGATAACAAAATTTTTGCGATAGTTCAAAAAAATTTACAAACTCTTATCGCAGTGAAACCATCTGCTGATATAAATCCCATCGATCTCAGCCTTTGTAAACTAATCAGTGAAGATAAGCTGCGGCAACACATGTCTTCACGGAACCAATGATAATTTATGGGCGGGAAAAACCGCGAGTAGCTAGTTTAAACAGAAAAATCCTGAATAAATTTGGATTCATTTTTTACAGAGGCTTAAATATAACAATGAAATGTAGTGAATACAAACACAATGATTCAGATTGAGTAAAAATTCACCGAAGTAAACTGTTGAATGCGATTTTCTCACTTTTGTTTTTTGTAAAAATAAATTTATTGTGGGAGTAAAACATATTTTTTGGGAAGTATAAAAAACAAGAACTCAAAAAAAACAGAAGAAAAAAGGAAAGATATAGCGTTTCATTCAGTTGTGGCAATCTATTATGTTTTCCTTATTGAGGTTGGGAAAAGGATGGAATAACGAAATATATAAACACGTCGCTGACCATTA